TCCAAATAATATAATTAACGCAATGTTTGAGGAAATCTTTGTTTTATTAATGTATGGCATTCTTGAATAATTGTATTCATTGTTTAATAAAGTATTCAACCTTTTATTTCGAACAACTTGATCTCGAATAAATAGATTGAAATACTATTAACGAAAAAAATCTTGAATGTATTTACTCAAATTTATTCTTTCAAACATCAATTACTTGTCGAAGATATAGAATAAGTAATACATTACGAATTGTACCAAATTTTGATTTAAAAATAAATTTTTATCAAATTTACTCGTAATGACCAATAAATAATAGACACCTATTTTTTTCGTCTAATAGCTCCCAATGTTAAAAGCACATATAAAGTTAACTTGTTTGAGGAGAGAAATCACTAAAGACATTAGGTACGGAGGAATAGTACATCTGTGTTTTACTTTATCCAGGTCAATAAATAGAATATGAAAATACTGCAAAGTTTAATTGATGTTGCATCTTTCCTTCCTTCTTTAGTAAAATAAGTCTTAAATATCTAACGATCATATTTACCCCTACCGCCCGATCTCCTTTTTTCTGTTTTGGGTTGGTTTAGGGTTTTTTTGCAACCACAATTAAGGATTTTAACTTTAGTAGGTATTATTAGTAAATTCTTATAAATTCAAATTTATTAAATCTGTCTAAAGTTAAATTCCTTAAATGTTTCAAGTAAAATAAATTTTAAATTTCTGTCCTAAAATCCTGTAAACCATTTGACAATGATAATCAGGATTTAATTTGAATCAATATATTAATTAGTATAGCATTTTATTAAGTACAGTACATTCTAATTAATTATAGTCTCATTAATCTAAATAGTTATAAAAAACAATACAATTAGAACAATTATAAATAATTATGAAAAGTAACTCTGATTAAATTTAAATTGTAATTATATTTTTAAATTATTTATGAGGCAGTGTGTGCAGAAGAAGAGCTCGGGAGTCTTTCGCTCAATGCCAGGATTTACTAAGCACAGAATTTAAGGCTAAAAGGAGGAGCAACGGGATTTAAGCTTCTCTAGGATTTAAAGTTGTCATTTTGGCTGTTGGGCAGGATCCGAGTTGAGCTGCTGTTCAAATCCAGCGACCGAACCGCAGTTGCATTTCACATGGGCGGTGTAGGTCGGCTTCGCCCACCCGGTTTCCCCATTCTGGCAGCATAATCACAGAAGGGAGACGACGAGAGGAATTCGCGCATCGAAATGGCGCAGATTCCTAACCTGGACAATTCCCCTCTCAACTTCACCGCGCTCAGGTACGTTGTTCTCCTTTTTTTTGCAACTTCTGATCAAATTTGCATTCAATAAATTGATTTTTGTTTCGCAGAGAGCGTTCGCAGAAGGAGCTCATTAACATTCTCAAGAACGTCAGTTTGCGCTAATCCCTGATTTGTTGTTATTATACTCTTTTCTTTAGCAACTGAACTTATATATGCTATAGGTTCGCGGGAAGAAGTGTCTTGTCATCGATCCTAAGCTTGGGGGTTCACTTTCGTTGCTCATCCAGACTTCTATGCTAAAGGTGATATATTTCCCTCTTTTGCATTCTTTCGGTCTGTAGTTATATTTCTCCTTCTTTTGCATTCTTTCTGTCTGTAGTTATATTCCTCCGGAAGTTACTTTTTTGGGGAATAAAAAGTTACTTATTTTTTCGTGTTTTAAGGCTCAAGTCAGAAAACCTTATGTGTTGCGCTTTAATGTTCTCTGTCATCTGAAACAGGAGAATGGTACAGAATTGCGGCATCTTTCTGCTGATCCTGTTCAAACAGAATGCTCGAAAGTGCTGTATCTTGTTCGTTCTCAACTGAACTTGATGAAGTTCATTTCATCCCACATTCAGAATGATGTTTCAAAAGGGTTGCAGAAGGAGTACTTTGTTTATTTTGTCCCTCGCCGCACAGTTGTTTGTGAAAAGGTTTGCTTATAAATTCATTATTATTTTCCATTACAAGGATGACCCACACATGGAACGATGGAAGTTTGATTTCTCTCTGTCTTATGGTTCGAGCATATGATCGCCGGTTTGCTTTGGCGGCATGGCTGTGCCCATTTTGGTTGGGTTCTTTCTCTTGATCAATTGTTGGTTTGTTGATGTACTTCTTCTGAACATCATTCAGTATCATTGAAGTTTGACATATATTGCATGAGCTGGATAATTTTTTGGAAAAAAAATGGATTTGGATATCCTGCTTAATTTTGTAGAATGGATCTTATACTTATTAAATTGCTTTGAAATGGGTGCAATACATGACTAATTAATCAAAGAGTATCTTGCAGTCATCTTAAAACAAGTCTAGAATGCATAAAACTCATCCTAACCAAAATTTGGACATGGTATCTTGATCTAGCTTTCACTAAATGTTGATTCTTGGCTTTTTTGTCAGTTATCTTCTTACAAGCACTTGATTGTTTGAAAATGAAAATAATGTTGGGAAGATTCACTGTTGTACGTTCTATGGAAGTTGTGTTAACCATACATAACTTCTTATTATTCTTGGCATATATGCATGTTTTGACTGTAGAAAAAATGGACGATTTAAAAATTAATGTGGTACGAACTACAAAGTTAAGTAGCCTGGAAAGCAGGAGGGTATGTAGGATATAGTGCGTGGGTATGGTGCATTCGATATAGTTAAAGAAAATATATTGCGATTACTTGGAATTTGAAGGAATAGGGAGGGCTATGGCTAACATGATATATGAAGTTAATTTTCATTTTGAAGGAATGGGGAAGGCTATGCTAACATGGTTGAAGATTGCTTAAAAGATTTAGCTACACTAGAATCATGATGTTTTTTTGCTCTTAAAGCAGGGAGTAATGATGATGGTTTGATGAACTAACGCGTAATAGTTGGATTAGGTTGATCATATTGATAATGCTGGTGAACAATTATTCATAATGAAGTTATAGGGAAGCCTAAAGTGGTTCCTTGCATTGTTGCGCTTGTTCCTCTACCAACCAAGAATCCTTTAAGAACATTTTATGAAGACTCATCTTAACTTCAATAATGAAATTCATTCAAGAATGATTCATAATCAAATTTCACAGCAACATAGTCAAACTGCAGCAAATTCTATTTTGAACCCGCTGTCCTTTCTTCCTCCTTTATGTATCATCCCATCAACAGGACCTTTTGCCTCTGCCGTAGGCATGCTATTTTGAATCTGCTGTCCTTTGTTCCTCCTTTATGTATCATTTTCCTTCTACATTCTTCCTTGCACTATTATTCTTGCCTCCATGTTTTTTTCCACCATTAGAGTTGTCTTCTAGGTGTTTCTTTCTATTATAACGCTCCTATGCAATAATATGCATTGATAATTGAAATTTCTCCACTTACATGCATATGTGCTTGTAGCCACAGGCATTGCATGCTCTTAGTACATAAGAAGTTGCTAGCACACTTGCATGAAGATGTTGAAATAAATAAATAGAATAATCTCACATTTTAACAATGTTGAAGCAGTCATTTTCTTTTTTACATTTAAAATGCTTAAGGAAATCTATGCTATTTGTACCTTGTCTATTATGATCTCATGATAACTTACATATCAGCAAGCTTTTTTGTTATTATCTTCACATAATAGTGCTCATCCTCAGATTTGGATTATGCTGCCAGTGCTAAATTCATGATCAAGTTCAAGCCACTGAATCTCCTATTTGCTTGTTATTATTATTATTATTATTATTATTATTATTATTATTATTTTACTTGATATGCATGCATGCTAGTATTTGAATTGTCCTCCGTCCTTGTTGATTTCCCTCTTAGTTAGCCGTGATAGCTGCTGTATCAGTTTTTGTATAATCCTTATTGGTGCAGATTTTTGAGGAGGAGAAGGTTCATCATTTAATTACTTTTGGAGAGTACCCGTTATATATCTTGCCAGTGGATGAAGATGTTTTATCATGTGAACTGGACCTTGCTTTCCGGGTACTCAAATTGAAAATTGCCAATTTCTATTGTCACTTTATTACCAATTCTAATTTGGTTTTATTTTTTTTAAGGAATGCTTAATTGATGGTGATACAAGTGCTCTTTGGCATGTTGCAAATGCCATTCATAAACTAGAGGTATATATCCTTCTTTTGGATGTTAGATTTTCAATCTATGGCTGATTGCGAGCTTATACTTAGTTTCTTATAGTTGGAATAAAGCTATTAATGAAAAAGATGATGATGAGGCTATTCTTTAAACTTACATTGCAAGATTCCATTGAATCTTTACATGCTACTTTCTCTGAAGTAGGCCTAATATTTGCATTTGCAGTTTTCATTTGGAGTAATACCAACTGTCCGGGCCAAAGGAAAAGGATCAGCAAAAATTGTTGACATTTTGAATAGCCTGCAAGTGGAAGAGCCAGTGAATGCTCCTGATGTAATTATTTTTAGTCCTTCCTTCTTTTTGTAACCACTACTATCTTTTAAGTAATTAAACTTGTTCTATTACATTCCAGATGGGGGCTCCGGAGATAAATATGCTTATCTTGATTGACAGGGAGGTAATTACTCTATTACTCTAATTAATATTTGATAATAGTACCACCTATATAACTGAGCTTTTTTATCTTTCTGCTTGATTTATGAAGTCGATTCAGAATGATTGAGTTTCTAACATTTCTGAAATTTCCTCCAAGTAATTACCTTTACATTTAGCATCAATTATTCAAATCAATCTTCAAGACTCATTCATCTCATTTTCCTTGCAAGTGTCATCGTCCTATAGAATTTAATGATTGAGCAAAAAATGTCGAATGTCCCTGCAGAGATTTTTATTTATTTATGTTGATTATGCCGTACAAATTCGAGTGCGAGACAACAAAATAAAACACATATAACCAAATTTTGAGTGACATGAATAATAATGTAATGATATATGTTGGTAAAACTAGGGAGGATGTGTATGTTTGCAAGGCTAAGAAGGATAATTAGAAGTGTGATTATAACAAAGAGTTAGCATGAATGGTACTTCTTGAAGAGAAAGCAATGAATGCTAAGATCATTTGACCAGTTCACAATGGAGTTTCAAAGATACTCTAATAATGCTAGAAGATAGAGCTAGTGAGAAAGGAATACATGGGACGAACATAATAGAGCTAGATGTTCATTGAGTGGACTATAGTGTAAACTAAATTGCACTGAATGGGAATATGTTGAGAAGGAATGAAGGACGTACAAATGATGGTGATGAATTTTGTGAGCCAATAACTCACTCTCAGACTTGAACATGATTTTTGTTTTTGCTGTTGCATTTGATAACTTTTAACATTATTTGTTATTAGCTTTCTAAATTGTTGACCTGAGCTTCTTTCTTGAGAGTTTGCTCTTGTGCTACTGCAAGCTTGTCAGACTTTTTAAGTTGTAATTTCTTTAATGCAGGTGGATATGGTGACACCAATGTGCTTTCAGTTGACTTACGAAGGATTATTGGATGAGGTTGACACTGCAAATTCCACAGAATTTCTAAGAACTTAAATGCACGATTACTTTATAAATATGTTAGAGCAATTATTATCTCCTTTGCATTTCACTGCATTTTATAAACTGCAAATTATCAAATGTTTTGTGGTTCTACCAATATTTTATAAGATTGTGACGCAGTTGCATAGACTTGGACTATAAAGGGAATGAGATGAATCCAGGTGTAAAAATGTAGATAAATGCATGAGATGCATTATAAGAAATTTGCTTGAAAAACTTTGCTAGCCTTTTTTTCTTAGTCCTTATTTTCTTTTTATGCGATTATGAACTCTCCACCCCTTGTCCTTTGATAGACAGAACAGTCCTATAGCGGACTATTTGTCTCATGCATGCTTCTCAACTTTGAACCAACTTTTACTCTAAAGCAGTGGTTAGCTTCATCATGTCCCGTTCCCTTTTAAAGAGTTTTCGAAGATGTTTTATGAATGTTACATTTTGTTTAGTTCATTAATTCTTTTGTTGATTATTCCCTTACATAACGTACACAATCTGAGCTGATATAGGAAAGTTAAACTCCAAGAAGATTCATAAAGTCCATCTAAATGGAAATTTTTTTAGTTCTTGTTGAAGTGTCAATTGTTTCTTCCAGCCTGAAATAAGGTGCCATGAAATTTGTTTGCTCGTTTCTTCTTTTTTGTTTTCTGTTTTTACGGAAAAGATATACCGTGGAATTCATATGACCTCATCATACTCACAAATTAAATTATTCCCATATTATTTTAAGACTTTCTGGACTTTTTCAGTACAGATATTACAAGTGAACAATGGTGCAGTGGAGGTAGATGCTTCCATTATTGGAGCCCAGCAAGAAAGAAATAAAATCAAAGTTCCACTCAATTCCAGGTAGTCAAGCTGCATGCATGTGCAAACCTTTCTATTTTGAGCATTTGTCCATCCGTTTTGCAATTGTGATAGAGATGGAGGTGGGTTACTCATGATATCATAAATATGACATGAATAGATAAATTGAGGATGTTTTTCATAAGAATTTCGTGATAGATTACAAAGATAATTTTGATGGAAGACTTGCCAAAGTCTCCATGAAAGAGAGAACAATCAAGTTCTATCTTTTGTATGTGTACAAGCAATGCTCTAGCATAAATCAATCAAGTTTGTTTTCAACTATAAAGCAATTTCATATTTGTAACTTCTCTATTACAATTCCATAAAATAAAATAGTTACATATATTCCTTGTAAGGGCTGATCTCTTTACTAATCCATGGACTCTTGACTTCATTCTTGGGTTGGTTGATTGCTTAATTCCTTGCATAACTTACTTATAACTAAACTATGATTGGATTTTGGGCTTGAAATTATCATTCATACCTTTCTTTCTTGCATTGAAACCTTTATGGAAGATGGAGAAAGAGGGGAGGATTTTCATGTTACCATGTCTGAACAAATTGACAAATCCAACTTACCATGTCTGAACAAATTGACAAATCCAATTGGGAAAGTGTATAGAGCTATATAATTGCTTTCATGATGCTTAAAATTTTGCTACCTTCAATAAAAATAATACCAGCGTCCATATCAAATTGTTTTCCATACGAGTCGGGTTCGAGTTCAACAAGCCAACCCTTTTCAAAAATATGGTTTTGTTTGGGTTGACCAGGAAACCTGAAACTGACTCAAATTGACCTGAATATGACCTCTCGCTTCGCGCTCGAGACAACTCTCCGCCTCTCCCGCCCTCGCGGTTGCGCAGATCACTAGTTGAGCTTGCCTTGTAGCAGCACCGCCGTCCTGCGCACTTGCGCACGCCGCGACCTTGCTCGCCCTCCCGCCGTCTCGCTCTCACATGACGCGTCTGCACCTAGACCACACCTGCACCCTGCTCGCTCCCCCGCGTCCGCTCCCTTGCTCCTGCACCCTTGCTTGCTCGCTCACCAGTTACTCAACCCGAAAAATTCTAGGTTAGCATGTCGGTTTGGGTCAACCCACCAACCCTTTGGTTTACAAAATCGGATCATGTTAGGGTCAACCAGTTTTAACCCTGGTCAATTCCGGGTTTGATCTGAACCCGACCCGCAAACCCATTTTGACACCCCTAAAAAATAACACATTGTTTCCACTTTTGATGATGATGTTTTTTTTTTTAAACAGATGATGGTGGTTATAATTAAATTTTCTTCATGTCTTGAGCTTGATGATGATGATGACGACAACATAATACATTCCAATTTAGAATTAAAAAACATGAATAATTTTTATTTTTGCTTGAACTTACCTAATTTGTTCTGCATCAACTTGTTTGGAAAGTTCTTGATCATGAGATTTAACAAAAATTTTGAACTGTTCCAGAAATAATATGTGGTCGTGTAAATGTTGCTGGATGTTACTGCTTAGCAAAGCAGTTGCCAAATTCAATTCTTTTCCTTTGGAAAATATCAATAATGACACTTCACTGAAACACCTTGTAACTTCTAACCAGATCCGAGGTTTCCGCTTTTAGCAAATTTTATGCTTGAAAACAACCAAGACCAACTTGTACTATAGAGTTGGACATACTTTCTCTTTTGCTATTTTAAAATATTTTCCTTTTGCCTTTTCTCTTCAGTGATAAATTGTACAAGGACATTCGAGATCTTCACTTTGAGGAAGTTGTGCAGGTTGTTTGCTTTCTATACCACTCACCCTCTTACTGTTTTCTTTGGAATTTTGTAGTGATTTTTAAGGCTTCTTTCGGTGCTCATATTACAAATTATCTCCAATTCATAAACCAGGTAGTTTTAACTGCAGGTTCTCCGTGAGAAGGCTACTTCAATGCAGAAAGATTATGCCGATGTAAAAACCACTGTAAGGAGAAGACCTTAAAGATCTGATACTGATTATCTTCTTAACACAGCACATCCTGCATCACATAAACTAGACATAATCTCTCTTTGACATTAAAATTGTATTTGCATCATCACGATTCATCTATGTCCTTTGTAATGAAAGTATGAACTATTTTTTTAATCTTCTGTATCAGCTTCTTTGGATGACTACCAAGAGGCAAAAAACTATGACATCATTTGATTAAGAGTACACGTTTTAGATATCTTGGATCTATTGTTCAGAGTGATGGTGAAATAGATGGGGATATTATCATCAGAATTCAAGTTGGATGGTTGAAGTGGAGGAATACATCAGGCTTGTTGTGTGATAGAAAAGTACCCCTCAAACTTAAGGGAAAATTCTATAAGATGGTAGTGAGGCCTGCAATGCTTTATGGTGCTGAATGTTGGCCATTAAAAGAGAAGCATAATACTAAGTTAAGTGTGGCAGAGATGAGGATGCTCAGGTGGATGAGTGGCTTTACCCTTAGAGATAGGATACGAAATGAGCATATACGTGAAAAGGTTGGAGTAGCTCCAGTAGAGGATAAGATTAGAGAGAGTCGCCTTAGATGGTTTGGTCACATAAAACGGCGGCCTTCCAATGACCCGGTTAGGAGAGTAGAGGCGTTAGATTTAACTTATGTTAAAAATATAGAGGCAAACCTAAAAAGACTTGGTTAGAAAATATTAGGATTGACATTTCTTTATTAGATTTAAACGAGAATTTGACATTTAATTGGACACAATGGAGAAAAAGGATTCATGTAGCCGACCCACTACTTTACTTGCAGCCATTAACTTACTTGTGCTTGTACAAAGTCCTGGTTGTTATCTCTCTTAGAAAATAAGATGATGACCTTGAGTATGGTTATAGACCCTTTTTTCTGAAGTTAATAACATGACAGTTGAGGATTGCTGGATATTTGCGATTCACATGATGTATAATAAACATTCTAGCTTATGGCAGTGATAACGTGAATATTTCTAATAATATGCAGCTAATATGCTGACTTAAAAATAGTTTGCAACATTATTTGTATTGGTAACCATTGAAATGATCCTGATTAACTTGTTTGAAACCCAAGAATGGATAGGATTGTTACTTGTATTTGGTAAGAAGAGCCCCATTTGCATAAAGTATCTTTGACCTTACCTCATCTCCATAGCCAATTTTCCAATAGAAATTTGAAATCAGAGGCTTCTGTTTTCACTTCTCTGACATCAGATGATCCAGGAACTTCCATAGTTGGAGTGATCTGATTTGAACTTCCATAGTTTTCTCATCTTTCTATTGAAATGGAGTGGAAACTTACAGAAAAACTGTAATTCCACCCGTAATTGAACTTAAGTTGAATTTGAGGTTGTTTTTTTAGTGGCATTCCCAATTTCTGAATCCCTATCTTTATCAGTACTGACTGGAATTAACTGTCTGCATAATGAATCATGGCTTGAATTTTGTTGGAACTACTTACAACAATAAGCGCACCTGGTGCATGGAAAAAAACTACCATTTAGACTCAACGAGACATTAATGTTCCAGCGTTTTGAGACAATTAAGTGTTTGATGCAGCCTTGGTGCCCTTAGCCAAGGCTCCTTAAGAATATAGGGAAATTATTATTGGCAGACTGGTGTCTATCTTTAGCTCGGTAATATCACTTCTGTCTTCAGAAGGAATATAGCTCTCTAGAATTTGGTACTTATCTCTCTGCTTTTCCATTAACTTGAAATCAAATGGTAGCTTGCTACAGATTTGCTGTCTACTAAAGCAGCTTATGAATTTGCAACCTAGAAAAATTTTGACCTTTTTATTATTTGGAATTAATATAATAGAAATCTGATGCATGACTTAAATAAAAATCAATTTCTGTTAAATTGGTATTGGGTAACAAGCTACTAAAAACAAAGTTGATTATGGAAGAGATGAGAATTTTGGATTTATGGTTAAAACTAGGAATGGTACTGATATAGTTCTGGTTGCCTGGACCTTACTTCTGATTTGCCTACATAAAAAAATAAATGCAAATTAGGATTACTTTTGGAGTTGTTTAGTTTTTTTTTGTATTTTTATTTGATGTATCCTTTGGATTATTTCTCATCTAAATGTTGGATGTTTATGTAATTTTCATTTTTATTTGGACTTATTGGTGATAAATATGACTCATTTTCTTTATAAAGGATATCATGCACTCTGGAGGATTACATTTCATTAAGCTAATTTGAATTATCCTCTCTTATTTCTCTCCCCCTCTTTCCCATATTTCCCTCCTGAAATTATCGCTGGTTCTCTCAATGACAATCCCCCCCCTCTCTCTCTCTCTCTCTCTCTCTCTCTCTATCTATCTTCTCTCCTCATGCTTTGTGTGCTATTCCTCACCATAAGAATGATCTCCTAGGTAATCTCGGTGGCCATAATCCTACTTGTGTGCATCCTCAGTTAGATTTCACAGGGTTGGAAAAATTCTCTTTTGGAGGGTTATGCCAAGTCAATCATTGAGTAAATATAGTTCTGGCTATGGCAGATTGCTGTGGTCAATCGAAGAATCATCATCAAGCGGCTTAAATTTCTAGCTTGTAAGTATGTCAGCCAATATGAAGGATCTATGATAATTTCTTTGATGTTGAATATCTCAACCTATTATGAAGTGTTAGAGAGGGTAGGCGGTAATATAGGATCAATAATATAACTTAGAAAAGAAGCTTCATTCGTTAAAAAAAAAAAAAAACTTAGTTTTATTGCACAAAAAGGATTAAAAGTGGCTATATATGATGTGATGTTTTTAATTTTAAATACAGGAAGAATATTCATTTAGGGAGGAACTCAAATACAAGGCATTACATGTTAAAATTCTTAGAAATTTGGATTGGCTAGAGGACCCTTTTGTCGAGCTTTAAATAGTTGTATTTTGTAAGTAATCTAAATATAACTAACATAGCACATAGGTTTTATCAATAAAAGCATATTTTTTATTATGAATATATTATTGCTTTCAATTTGTTTGTAAATTCTTTAATCGGTATATTAATGTCTCTTTAAACATTCAGAGATGTACAATTGCAAAATAGAGGGGTAACATACAAATATTAAGCAACCGTTTGATTTTCAAATGATGTAAGAAATGCAGCAAGATTTTAACATTATAATTCCCTTAGTAAAGAAGATACAATAGTAGATAACATGTAATCATTAGGGTTATTATCCCCATCTCATTCTGCTATAATATTATCTTTTTCATAAAAAATTATCACTTCAAGATCTCAAAGTGATAATAATCACATTTGTAGCGTAGTTTTCAATGTTTCATTTTTCTATTAGATTTTATTTATGTAGAGGTGTTTGTGCAAGTTGTATGTTTGGATGTAGTGTTGACTTTGATATGTGAATGCCATCCATGTATGGAAGGGTCTTATTAGGATGGTAATTACATTTTATGGGCACTTTGAAAGAATTCATGAAGCTCAAGGGCGTGATTCTTTCATAGTCTATGGTTTGGATGCCATTAGGAGTTTTCAAAGACATACCATTTCACTTTTCCAATTGTTTAAACTATATAGAGTTTAATAAATCTAGGAGACTTTGGTTTCTTATGGGCACAATCTCTAATGGTTAATTACATATTTGATGTGATACTCAAGACCACTCTTGATTAAGGACATCATGTGTGCTCTGAATTGGTGGTGATTAATTTTGAATTTGTATTTGAGGATTATTATGGGTGGATGATTAACTCAATCAAGATCCCATGATTTCATTGTCCTGAGTTTACCTGATGGATAATCTATCAACAATAAAGATGGGAGGCAATGATGTCCAGCATTTTGATTAGCAGTTATGAGTTGCTTCCTCTTAATAACCTGACCACACCAATGCTGGCAATCTTTTATGCAATGTGTCTTTATGCCAACCTGTAGATGGCTTTTGCGTTGATTTGTTAGATGTTGAAAGTTTTAAGATCGTGAATTTAAGTAACTTTGAACTGATTTGATGGCTTATGTATCAATTTGGTAGACATTGTTTAAGGAATTTTATAATTGAAAATTTGGAGGCTTTAGGCCAATTTGAGAATTTTTGTTTCAATTTGGCCTTCATAGTTTGAAGAAATTGAAAATTGAAATTTTAGGAAGCTTTGGACCAATTTGAGTCACTTTTGTAAAGATGGTCTTATGATTTTGGGAATTGTATGCTCTTTACTTAAACTTAAGGCTTAATCTTATAAGCCTTTATGCCAAGTTTATTTCTGTTTTGTTCACATTTGGGAACTTTTGTCACTAGTTTTAATAGAAGCTGTCTAAGAGGCTTAATATTATTAATTTGATGGTTATGTTGTTTGACTTGATTTGAAGTTATATTGTTGTTTTGAAAGTTTGATGCAATGGTTCAATGTTGATTTGGTCGCACGATTGAGTCTTACATGCTAAGAATGTCCATTGTTAGGAATAATGACTATGATATGAAGGCAATTTACACTAGACAACACTCAATAGAGGTGCTGAGGAGCTAGCTTAGAGGGTTAGCATTTGTGAATTATGTTTATGATAAGACTTGAGCACCAAAATCAGCGAATAAATAGTAAAATTCAACATACCCATAGATTTTTTGGATAAGAAAAAAAGAAACATGAACAAGCAAGAAAATATGCGCTATTCAATTAGGAAACATTTCCTAATTAATCCCTTCCCAAATTAGTCCACTTCAATTAGAAAATATTTCCCTAAATCAACTCCTAAACCAGCCCCCAAATATGTCCTTTTCAATTAGGACTTAGGAGACATCTCATAATTAATTCCCCTCTTAGCCGCCCCCTCCGCCTTGCATTAAACCCCAACCCTACCCTAATGGGTGGCAGAATCCAGCTGGGCCAGACACTTTTTCTCCTGGAGTATACCAAGGATGATACCTTCTGGATCTTTCATTGTTGGACTGACCTAACAATACTCCCATCCCAAAAGTGCCACCTTTTCCTCAAGGTGGAATGAAGAGAACTATTGCTGAATAGTCTAGTAGGACTCCCATGTGGTTTCTTACTTAGGAAGATTCTTCCACCCGATCAAAACCTCTTTGCATCCTGTTACTCCTTGGCACACTCCTTCGACCTCCAATGGTTTCAACAATACCTCCATGTCGTCCTTCAAGGTCAGGGGAAGTGAAGAAGACAGAATGTGCTCTCCTATCATCCGTCGCAACTGGGACACATGAAACACCAGGTGGATGGTTGACGACGGTAGTAACTGTAGGCGATATGCCAGGGCACTGATGCACTCCATCGTCTTGTAAGGACCAAAATAATGGGGTGCTAACTTATCATTCCTTCTTAGTGCCAGATTTTTTTGTTTGTAGGGTCGAAGCTTTAAGTAAACTCTGTCCCCTACTTCAAACTGAATGTCTCTCCTTTGTTGATCTGCTTGCCTCTTCATGATTTGTTGAGCTCTCAACAAGTTCCCCTTCAGTTCTGCCAAGATCCTTTTCTATCTTACAAGTACTGCTCTACAAATGCCACCGATGTGCTGCCTTGTACATATTAATGTTAGAGCAATAGGAAGTCAAATGATTATGCCAAATATAAATGGCTAGAAGCTTTGATATTCATACACTAGAGTAAGCAAAACATGAACTCATAAAGATTTACGACAAAAAAGGATTCTTAGCATTGCTATAATAGTTGAAACAAAAAAATCTAATGATGATTTTCATGTTAGTAATTAAAGAATGCAACTACCTTTAACACTTTTGGTGAAGTTTACTTATAAAAGTTAAAATATGATATTTTTTCTATGTTTTTTGGTATGTATTATTTACTATATCAATCGCTCTTACTATTATTTTGTTTGATTTGGTAGTCACAATCTGTGTCAGAGTTGAAGGATTTTGTGAAGAAATTAAATTCGTTACCAGAAATAGCTGTAAGTTTTTTTAACCTCTGCTTTTTATTTTTTTAATAACAACAGCGAGGCCAACTATTTAGTTATTGATGCTTTATGCAGAGGCATGTAAGCCTTGCCCAACATTTGCAAACTTTTACTTGCAAGCCATCATTCCATTCCCGCCTTGACATTGAGCAAACAATCTTGGAATTGCAAAACTTTGATCTGTAAGTATGCTTTTAATAGCTTGAAATTATTTTAATGGATTAAATACCAATGTTACATTTTCTCCAAAGCGGGGCAAACATTTTATAATTTTTTTTACTGTTGCATTGCATGCTCTCTCTTATTTATTTTCTATCATAAAGAAGAATGATGAACCCTTATGAACAATATATTATTAATCTTCAAGAGATAGTTTTAAATAAGATCAATCTTGTAAAATTAGATTTTAAACTAAAGTTATAGGTCTTATTAAAAGTTATTCAATATACAATGTATTGCCAAATATGGTTGGTACTATTATTTGTGAATAAGATGTATGTCTTCGGGGCATGAGAAATATTTCACTTTGTTTGATGTTTTAAAAGTTATTTATGTAGGTTCCTAGCACCTTTCTAAAATACAAATCAATCCATGAGATTAAATCTTAGTCTTTATTGGTTCTCAGGAAAATATTAATTTTTTACATTAATTTGGCCATATGAATACGTGATGTATATCTTAGTCTTTATTGGTAATCCAAAATCAAGGTTTTTTTTATTGTTGGGTGTTTCATTACTACTTTGCTATGACTGGGGGTAAGTTGATGAGTACAGAGTTTATGGCCTATTAGATTCATGAGATAGAACAGTTCAATATTGTCACTTGTGTGCCTTAAGCATCATAGAAGAGTAAATTACTTTTTTTGGCCTTACAAAATGTTCCAGTGCCCCATTGAGAGAGAGTTTACGGTGTGCCATCATGTAGGGGTGGGATATTAGGCCTTATCATTCACAAAATGGATGTGCTTGAGGCCACGAGTAAGGAGAAACATAGAAAAAGTGAGCTTATCACCTTTAAGAACTTCATATGTTCTAATAGTTGAAGCATTTGGCAATCATTCATACAAGAAATACTCTGAGGGAATTCCTGGGCCATGTTATTGTTGCGACCGATATTTTTAAAGGCACTTTTGTGGCTTTATCAAGGTATGCTTCGTAGGCTGAGGAATCGCCTTTTATTGCTGGGGGCTCACCTTGTACATCTTATTAGTGAGGTGATAATCTTATGATATAACTTTAATTAAAATTTTATCAAATTACTAAATTTAAACTTATTTTAAACAAATTTTCTTACTATTTAAATAAAATATGAATGAAAATATTATTTATTTATTAATATCTCAATATTTAAATTCTATAAGATTGGGTCTTCTTTTATAAGCTGCTTGTAAGCAGTAAGCCCAACTCACTTCTCCCTGGTGTCATGTCTATCTTTAGATGTTTGTTCGCTGAGATAAAGTTCCCCTCACAACTTTTTGTTTCCTTAAACCGCTCATCGCTCATCTTTAATGAAGCTCAATATTGTTGACTACTTGTCTAGTTTCATAATAGCATATCATTTTATTTGTTTTATATGTTTGTATCAATTGGCCTTTGGAGTTAGAATATGAATCTTATGATTATGGACTTTGGATTGTAGATTCTATTTCATTTTTTCTTATGTTTGATATTTTAATTACATTTTTTATATTTGAAATATGAAAATGTAAAATTCATGGGATTTCTTTCTTGGGCCTTGTGGCTTATGCCATGGCTTGTGATAGGTGAGATAGCTCTTGGGTTGTAAGTGAGTCAAGTCGGCTCGAACTCGACCCGCTAATGAGCTTGCGAGTTGAGCTTATTGAGTTTTGAGTTCGAGCTCAAACCTATAGTTTGAGCCCAGTCAGACTCGACTTATTAGCTCGTCGAGCTACTTGATTTTAACAATATATTTTAAAATACTTTTAATATAATGTATATGATCTAGTTTATTTTAGCATAAATGCAGGCCATGGGCATGAGAGCATTTGCGATGGTTGGGGTTTTGGAGAACTCGCTGGCGTACACTGCGACGGTGAGAGCTCAAACGTTGATCTAGACTGGTTTGATCCTATAGGCTATTGTTTATCGAGGATTTCAACAAAGTTTTGAAATGGCCCTACTTTCAGCAAAGTTTTTAAATGGCCCTATTATAGGCTGTAGCGTTTGTGTGCCCTTATTTTCTTCCTCTCTTTTAAGCTTTTGAGTTTGTTCAAAGACTGGACAAAAACCTTACCCTTGACATTTTATTTGAAAATTTTTAATGATTCATGTCCGTTAAAAAACAGCTTGGAATGTGACCCTGCTACATGCATGAAAGTTTGTTGTAGGCCTAATTTTCTTCATGATGCGAGATCATCTTGGTCATTGATTCTTCTCGGATTAGATCATTACCTATTTAATCAAATACTATTTGATTTGGTCTTGTTATAAAGAAAAATAAAATGCACTTCATGTCAAGCTATCGAGCTTATAAACAAGCTGAGTTTGAGCATCTTATGCGAGCTCGAGCTAACGAGCCGAGCTTGAGCCGAAAATACAAAATTCAAGTCGAGTGTGAGCTCGAGATCGAGTTCAAGTTGCTTAAAATAGTAGGCGAGCTGGCTCTAGCTCGTTAGGACTTGAGCTTAACTCGACTCATTTGTACCCCTATATAAGCCGCTACCATTCAAAATATTGATTGTGACAGAGTATATCAACTAGATTGAGCATCTATGCTAGGACTATGCTCTCGTTGCAATGTGCTTTCACCATGATTATGTTGAACTCTTCTTAACATCTTTGGCAATGCTTACAAAACAAAGGCATGCCTAGCATGCGAAACTAAGAAACTTTTTCTTTACATTACTATGGCTATTCCTTGGTGTGGATATCTATTTCCTTGTGACTGTACAAAACCACATCTTCATTGTCTAAACCCCTCCACCTTAATTACCGACATCGTCTCCATCATCATTTCCCTTGATATGATTAATTGCGTCCGTGCATGGGTCCTCATAGTTGTCTTATTCAGCAGCTTGATTCCATTGACCCCCTTTCTTCTACTTAATGCAGGGTGTTATCCATGTCCACCCTTTGGTCAATGAACCATCAAGTGTTTCTTTATCGGTAGTGGGAGCTAAAACTCATGAAGTGGAAATGCTAATCATTACCTTGCTCTCATTGCATCAATATTCTTACGGAAAAATTCAACCCATTTTTACACTACACTGTAACGTGGGATAGGATGGCCTGTTCCCAGTCTGTTCCCCACATTCGAGCTTGTAGGGTTTTTAAAAATATGGACCTAAGTAAGTCGCTTTTTGTATTCAGGGTCATTAGTTATTTATGATTTTTAGTAGTTTTTTAGCTACGAATCTCAAATATCAGTGGAAATTATGTTTTTCCTAATGTTTTAAATTTTTTCTGTTGCAATTGGCATTCCAAACGTTTTAGCTGTAACATATTTAAGGAAATATTATAGAAGCTTCTAATGGCGAATTGAACTGCTTCCGGCTTTGGCTGATTCAATTTTGTTAACCACGATCTTTAAAAAAAAAAAAAATTGATTATCACTATTTCAAAAAGTTTGAACCATCAGTTGGATTTAGTTATCTTGGTTGTCACCCATTTTTCTCTGTATTATTAATTTGAACTTGGGCACAACGTAGTAGCTGCAGACTAAAATTTTGGAAATGTTAGTTTGGGATTTCGTTCATTTAGTTTGAGGGAATAGAACGGCTAGTTTTATATATTAACTTTCTTTTTTTAAGTGCAGATTTAAATTTTCCATGCATGCACAATTTCACTGCCTTGTTTCCTTTACTATTATGAAGTTGTGAATATCTTTGGTGTCTCTTCACTGAAATTAATTTGCAGTTGCTTTGAGTATATTGAGGAAATGATTCACAAGCAAGAACCTATCATATCTGTATTCCGTCTGCTGGTGTTACTTTCTGTTACCAACAATGGTTTACCAAAGAAAAACTTCGACTATTTGAGGTAATGGCTGAAACAAGCTTACCATTGTTCTTGCATTTTTGACCTAAAAAACCTTTCTGTTTTCCATTTCTTTCGCGGCTTCTTCAATATGATAGATAGTCAAAACATCTTGCATGTTTGTATGTAGATACATTTTGATGGATAATTAAAACATCTTGCTGTATTCTCATGATTTTCTATAGATACAGTGGTATGTTCAGAAGTTTGATTTTATTGTATTTTTCTTTTCATTTTTATGAAAATTGAATCATCTATTCTTTAATTTTTTTTGAGATTTAACCAATGCGTTGATCTCTGCCACTTCTTTCCTAACTCTGAAACATATTTTTGGTACCTACTGCATGGGCAGCTCCTTCCATGCCTGACAATTCCTTGTGTACTCTGCTGACAATTATTTCCTCACGACCAACAGTCTTCCTCTTCTATTAGTATTTCCTGGTACCTACACACATCTTATCCTTAAACTAATAGTTGGGCCTGATCCTTTAGCTGGACTAAGATGATATGGAGCTGCTTGATAATTCTTGCCTAGTGTTTAATCCTAACTTCCTTATGATAAAAAACAAACTTACTCCATTTTGGTGTTAGCTTAACCTTAGGAATTAGTGCCCTCTAAAATCACAATGTTTTGGTACTTCACCTTTCTTTTTATCTGCATCTGAAACGTTTGATTGCTCTCTACTTAATTGAATTTTATGATATTTGGACATTATAAGTGTGATGGAAGCTTCCTTTCACTTTTTGAGGTTTGATTTTTCATGCAACAAACTTCCAAGTTCAAAATTTAAAAAAATCGTGACTTTCTTTTTTGGGGGCTTTCCAATTTTGTTCTACCTTGAATTTCTAAGATGTGTTAGGAGTTAGGGACTAGCAAAGTTTGTCTACCTACATGCATGTTAAAAATTACATGGACAAGTATTTCTTGGTGGATATTCCTTATCAAAAAGGTTGCTAGGGGGGACGCCCCAAGTCCACATGATTGTAGTTTGCTTCAATGGTCTTAGAGTTAGAGTTATAAAATAGTAGGCTATTAATCTTAACCCCTCTTTAGTAATATGTTTTATGATTTTTACTTTTTTTAGAGACATGTTGGAAAAGTTGACTTAACTAGGATTTATGAGTCCTTTGTGAGCATTCCATACTTGTAAAAGTTTGTTATTTTAACAATTTTAGTAGACATAACCTCCATTTTGATGAAATAAAAAAAAAAGGATGAGGGTTGGCATTGAGGTGTATATTCTTCAATATTCTAGTTTGATATTATTTTAATTAAGATGTAAAGCCTTAAATTGGGCTAATGTTGGACACAAGAAACCTTCAGTGGAAGGGACCATATGAGCATGTGCTATTCAACTTCTTTAGCTTTTTTGTGCTTGGAGTGGGTTTACTTGATATTTTTGGGATAATTTTTGTATGTTTTATTATACATTTTTTGCAATAATTGCGTTCACAAATCCCTTTTTGCCTCTTGCTTCTAATTCCTTTTAGGGTTGGTAAGCCTAACTATCTTTCCCTTCCGTTGTGCCTTTTTTTCACAATCATCCCATTGGGCCTTTCTAATCAGTTTTGCACTACCACACAACTCTATAAACTTAATGTTATATACATTCATGGTATCAACAAGCCTCCTATTTCATCTAGAAGTTGAGGAGGGCAACCCTTGACCGATTCCCACCAAACTTTTTGGTGCATCCTTTTATTCGTCACCTTCTCAAGTTTTAAAAACTATACAGGAAATGGTTATCATTCAAAAGTTTAGAGAAACCTACTGACATTGCTAGTCTAGGCTAAGAACTTAGATCTTCCTTATTCAATATATTCCAGAACCTCCAGCTAGCTGTTCAAGAGAAATTTATAGTCAGTCTTTTCTTTTAGACTAATATCTAATCAACTAGCAAGCCACATAGTGATAGAAATATTGCCAACATTTATTTGAGTGCTTGAAATGCCTTTGAAATTGAAATGTGATGGAGGCTATCTACAATCTTCTATGGCATCATACATTGACTCTCCACCGCACTCGCACCTAAGCAATTTGACATTGTTTTTTTTAATGTTGATTTGACCATGTCGATCACATATTATGAGAGTTTTATTTAGGATAATTTACTTCAAATTCATGATCTTAGGATAACTTTTTTTAGATTTATTTGTATTTTGAGTTCTTGTAAAAAATTTAAAAATTTAAAGTGATTTATGTAATTATGAATTATATTTAAAAATCAAGAGTTTTAAAGCTTATAAATAGCCTTAAACCTGAGAATTATTCCTTGAATGAACGATTTTAAATTTTCGTTGTTGTTGATGTTAATGTATTGCTTGAATTTCCTCTCTTTTTCTATTATAGGTATGATAATTTCCCCATTCTAATCTCTCTTATTTCATCTTAATTTAATTTTCTTTCTTTATAGCCATTTATTTTCTTTTATTGAGAGTATGAAGAAACCGCGAACCATTATACCCTTAAATTAATTTCCCTCCTTTCTATATAAATCCCATTCAAATTATTTAATGAACTACCTTATTTTCTCTCCCATTACCACATAACCCAATGATCTCTCCAAACCTATCCTTCACCCTTTAGTCCTTCCACTCAACATCCTTCCCCCTCCCCCTTCTCTAAAATCCTAAAGAATACATGTTGACATCTTCATCTATTCCAAAATTTAAATTGATCGAATGCGACAAAGATGGAGTAAGACGAGCATATTGTCACTTGAAATCATTTCAAGGCGCCTTGCATACGTCAAAATCACTCAATTGTTGTTTATTCTATAATGCGTATTGCATTGAAGTGTCTGGAGCAGTAATCACCAAGAAGGGACCACCATGTTTGATTTGATTGAAAGGTGGCTAATGATGGATGTGTTGTTACTCAAAATTACCTAAATATTGTCTATTTCACAAAGTGGAGATCACAAATGCGTTTGGAACATCTAAAATGGCATGCAAACTACTATTATATTGCGTGGGTCGTCACATGAGAGAAATAACAAAACTCTACTTATGTGCTCGAAGTGAGAATGATGAGTTTTGGCGAGGTGAACCAATACATTATTAAAATAAAAAAAATTAATTTTAAAATTATTATTATTGTTATTAGTGTCAAAATCTAATTTAAAATTACCATATTAATTTTAATTATATTATTGTCAAAAATCCCCATACCTATCTTCTTCCTCTTTTACTCTTATCTTTCTCTACAATCATAGCCACTAAGACATCCTCAAGTCCCAGTTGTGCTAGCCTTTGTTGCAATCTACTCCATAGTCGCTACATATCTACTCTCTAAACCCATTATTCGAAATGCTAGATAACAAGACTTGAGCACTACAATGCCATCCTAGGAATATCGTAGCTATATCTAGCCTCCTTAAAGCCATTCATGCCACACCCATTTAGCTTTCCCATGGCTTCCACAAGGCTGCACCCTATCTTCCTCTTCCATTCTCCTTGCACTCGAAGCATATAAAACCCCTCAAATAGCTTGTGCACAGGGCCACAGGCTTAACTGTTAGTAGCCTCAGAGAATAATGGTCTTACATAACTTTGCACGACTCTACATTCAACCTGTAACATCCCTTCTTCGATCACCTCCAAATCATCTAATCGTAGGCCCACCTACTTCTAGCTGATCTCTTCACACCCCTCTCTCTCAACTCTCTTTCCCCATTTCGCTAATTCTCTTATCTCTCTCATCTCTCTAAAACTCTCTCTACTTCTCTCTTTTTCTATTATTTTCTTTATCTTTTCCCTCATGCTCTATTAAAAAGAAACCAAGCACAAAAAAGTGAAAAGGGAAAGATTAAAAAAGAAAAGTATATATATATAAAGAAAAAGAGAGAGTAGGTGTTTGTTTCATCTTTTCACCTCATCATCACCGTCGTCTTCGCTTTGTGAGTGTAGGTATGAAATGCAATAATTCAATGGCGCATTGAAATCCTAATTACAGTGCATTTGGCGTGATGAACAAAATTCGTGTGCGCTTTTTTTTGGCACGACAGGGGCAACTTGTATGCGATGTCTATTATGATACAGTGTGTGGTATTTGTGAGCACTTTTCTTATGCATAAATTCTTATGTAGATATCACATGCACATCTTTTTTGGCGCGATGATTTTTAAAAAGTTTCGGTCATGGTGTTTTAGGACACTAACCATGCACGCCTTTTTTGACATAGTGGGCAAACCCAACGCTCCTAATAGATTCTACCTATGCGGATGAGACGATTAGAGGTTGTTGAAAATTTCAATGAATATTGGGCTCTAACTGGATAAAAATAAAGACTTTGGACAAAGAAGCAACTAACCAAAAAAAATAATGGATATGATGTAGAACGGGTAGGAGGCTTTGCTAGGGAGATTTAATGGATTTCAATTCCCCAAAATCAATGAATTGATTTGGGGAATCATAATAGGAATTAAAGCTGAGGAAGATGTACTGGGCTGCCAATTTGCCTTCTAAATCAGTAGTTCTAAGGGCCTTCAGATGTTGATGATGCAAGCCAATAGCAGAGAATTTCCGCTGCAGCTTTGGGGAGCAAGGGAGTTTATGATTTGTGGGCTGTTGGAGACATTAGTAGAGGAAAACCAACAAAGGAAACCTGGGGGAAATTCGGCCAGCAGGGAATATGGGAAGGAAATTCGGATTCTCAAGATTAAGGGCTGAGTTTAGGGAATAATTAAGAGGGGATTCCAGAATTTCAGCCAGGTTAAGGTGACGGATTTTTAATTCTTTCCCTGTGAGAGTAATGGCTTTAGGAAATAAATCAAGAGGATTAATTAGGGGGAGGGGCCGGTGGTTTAGAGTTGATGGAGAGGATTTGGGAATTGATTTTGGGTGTATTTAATAGGCTAGGGGGATTTAGGAAAGTAATTAACTAAATCCTATTTGAATTTCAAATTCAAATTGATTTAATTAAAGAACTTTCCTAAAATAGTTTTGATATTTTAGGAAAGTTTTTGAATTTCAAATTGAACAAATTTGAATTCAAAATTCTGTCCCAAAATACTTTCATCCAAATATTTGAATTTCAAATTTGAATCACAAATTTGAATCAAATCCTTTCTAATTTCTCGTAGGGTGAATTATGGAAAGCCATGAAGATATTGAGATTACCGTCATGGGAGAAAAAGGTGGGTTTCTGGTGAGGCTAGAATCCGGCGGCCAAACGAAGATGGGGAGGAGGAAGAAGATGAAGATAACGACGAAGAGCAATAAGAATGAACAAAAGCAAATAAACAAAATATCGAAGATACAACCGCGAGTCCGGACACATCCTGAGGCTGACGGGTACTACGTTGCCCTTCTCCAAAGGACTTCACGCCACGAGCCCGGATCCATCCTGCGGCTGGTGGAAACTCCGACTCCCTCCCATAGGGATTTCACTAACGTTCTTCCCAAAGAACCCAAGTGCAAAACGCAATTTTTTTTTTTTATTAATAATCCATCATCCAAATACAAGAGAAGAGGCCTCTATATATAGGCCTCAAGAGAAATTAAAAGACGCATTCGCCCCTTGGGCTTACATAAGACAAGAGGGTAAAAAGGGAAATTACACCATTGGGCTTACATAAAACAAGAGGGTAAAAAGGGAAATTACACAATTAAATCAAATTACACTTAATAAACTAAAATAAAACAAAGTGATCTCGATCGTCGATCTTCAGCTCCTCCTCGGATAGGCATGGACGGTTTGATGTCCACATCAGAATATAAGCTGAACAACTAAGATGCCATACTTGTTGCCTAAAAACATAATACAAAGTTGAATAGAAAACTTTACGCATAATTTAAAATGAAACTTACGATGAACTTAAAAGTTTGCCCACTAGTAGAATAAGAACCTCCCTGCACTTAGAAAGTTTGCTTGGAATGGTGAAAGTGAACTAAGACTCCTTCCCTCTTATTTGTAGGCGGAGAAGTGATTCTTGTGAGACCCATTGCATTAAAAGCCAAACTAAATAATGCCCCATACTTGTCTTACAAGTTTCCTTGCAAAAAGCTCTCCATGCCTACTCTTGAGAATATAGAAAGCAATATACTTATTTAGCTAGGTAGTTCTCCCCCCTCTCAGAAACTGTCAGGTCCTGGTGGAATTGAAGGTCTATTCACTAATAGGCAACTAGGGACTCTCTTGCCCAGCACCACCTATTTTAGTCTAGGTAAAATGAAAAAAGACCTAGTTCCACATATATGAGACATACAAGAAGTATGAGACAAGAAAAATAACATCTTGACAGATCTAAAAGATTATAATTCTCCTTCAACGCAATCGGATCCGCAACACATACACACAAGTGGACATAAAACGTTCTTTAAAACTTAAAATAACACATTGCATGTGTCTTATTAACTATAATATTCGTTCGAACAACGAAATATGGATGTTTTCAAGTCATGTGCAGGCATCATGGGAGAACTTTTAGATTGCTAAATATCTTGAAAAGCATGCAAATGTATTACATGTACCAAAAGCATGTAACATATCAAAGGATGTGTAAGTTTGTTATATAATTTCATAAAAATATACACATACAAAGTCCATATGAGCTAAAAGGTGTGCACATTTTATAGAATATTATATTTTAAAAATTCAAATCATCTAAATGTGTTTTGATAAACGTAGGAAATGCTTGGATACAAGGATTGAGAATATTTCTCATTAACAAAAAACAAATATTTTTCATGCCACCTTTTACTTTCCCAATCATTAGCTTAGACTTTTGAGAACCTTGGTTCTTCAATTAAAAAAAAAAAATCTTTCTCAACATAGATTATGGGCTGATGCATTGAATTTCATGTTCTAAGCTTTCATGTTCTACGGTTAAATGATTATCATTATTTCTATGGTCTGATGTGGTTGACTTTTTTGTTAGTAATGTAGACCACTGGAATCATAATTACTGTGTCTAATGTAGTTTGATTTTGTTGTATTAAAGATAAAAAAATAGTATTAATGATCATCGGGATTACTTTTTGAATAATTTAAATATATACATATCAGGTAGATTACATTTATGAAAAATTATTTTAATTGGAGGCACATGATCTCGATGTGATTAGTCTTTACATAATAGAAATTTGGTTTGTACTGGGTGAAATTCTACTTCTCTGTATAATGGATCATGGACTGACACAAGCACTTACGTGAGTCCACTGTGACATACCGACATTCACGTTCCACTTGATATGTAATCCTCATGGAATTTCTTTTGCAGTCATTCTCTATTTTCCAGTTTTCCTTTGTTTTATTAGTTGAACCTTTCTAAATTTGTGGTTCATATACTTTTCATATAGGAGGGAGATATTGCATAGCTATGGATTTGAGCACATGCCCACACTTTATAATCTTGAAAAAGCTGGGTTATTTAAGAGACAGGTGAGTCCAATATTTATCATTGATACAGATTTTGCTGTGTTCTGTCGTCCTTCTGTTTTATAAGAGTTAATTTTCATATTAATGAATAGTTACTGCAATGTTGCCACCTGTTGATATTTATTTGGCTGTATCCTTAACCTTGTTTTGTAGGAATCAAAAAGCAACTGGCTTATGATTTCAAAAGCACTCCAGTTGATAGCTTCTGAGTCCGAAGCTTCCAAGTACTTTCAGACTTCTTTTTCTGCTGTGTACTGCAATTGTTGGCATGGTTTAACATTGTTGAATTCATTGAAATTATATATTTTAACCTTTCTTTAACTGCTTGTAATCTTTTTTTGTACTTTTTTGGTGATGACTTTGAATAATTTGGCCTTTGTATAATATCTCAATTTCTCTGAATTCTGTATAGATGCATTCTGCATTGCATGCTTTGCATGAATTATTATTTGATCTGAAAAAGAAGTTTAACATCTTGTTCTTCTTTGCATACACTTCCCTTATCCGTTTCCTATACATTTGTTTTTTATTCACTTTTAGTAACTTAAATGAAATTTGGAGGATCAGCTTACTCATAAGATATGGCTTTGTCATGTCATTTGAAAATTTTTGTCTATCATTTGGTATAATCTATTATCACAAATTGTGAATACATATAAAAAAAATCAAACAATAGCTGGGGTTTTCTAAATGCGTTTTGTTAATCTCTTTGTTGCTTGCCTTTTCAAATAACATGCATTTTATACATTTGTCGATTTCAGTGCGAAAACAATTTGTTTTGTTTCCTCAAATATGCTAACCATTACATCTCACTTTGACATGAATTTTTCAGGCCAGATGATATTTCATACATTTTTTCTGGGTATGCACCTCTTAGCATCCGTATAGTCCAACATGCAATAAGATCCGGTTGGTATGTTCTTCCTTTTAAACTTCATAAAAGATTCAATTATTCTGTAATGATTAAAGGTTCCTCATAATTTTGTGTGCTTGACTTTATGTTGGAAAATGTGTTCCATCACTTTGAATAAAATGTATTCTAGCTCGAGTTGATAGCCAATTGTGTTTCCAGTGCATTTACTCCATTTTGAATTTATTTGCCAATTGTGTTTCTACTGCAATGGCATATTTTGCATTGAAGATTCTAAGGAATCTCATGTAGGGGTAGCTACATGCCTACATATTCCACTGTACCAAGGTTTAAAAAGGAGAAATCAGAAATTGAGGTGTTTTACCTTAGCGAGACGAGGCGAGGCGAGGCGTAAGGCTTGGAATAAAAAAATAAAAACTCTTAAGATTATAAATAATTCATACAAATGACAAAAATAATATAAATCATCACCATATTTTCTTGATTCATCATCATAACGACATAAACCACGAATTTAATATGTTATTATAAAATGAAAGTTTGAAATGAGATTGAAAATAAACACACGCGATTTAAATACACCGCAAGAATCAGGATCCACAACAATCTCATTCTCACTTCCATGTTCTTCATAAGAAGTCATGTAATAAATATATTATCCTTAGATTATGACATTATGTCTCTTTATCATCTTCAAAATATTCTTCAATTATAAATTTTTTCCTACTCTTTTTATCAGTAACATTGGTTTCAATAAAATATAGAGTAAAGTAACAAATTAATAACACAAAAAGTAATCTATTATACTTAAAATCACATTTTAATTTTTTGAAGTTCCAACCTCCTTTTGCTTCTTTTTTTTTTTTAAATAATTGTGAAGTAAACGATGTTATCAGTTCAAGAGCCATTTTAATGTTAGTATTGATATTTTTATTTTCCTCATCATCAAATATTATTCCTCCATCTTCAACTTCAAATCTTTCACTGTTATTTGATGTTATTCATTCTATATCAGATATAGCATATTATCTACAACCAAATGATCCATTTCATCATTACTAGTTATTTGCCTTTGTTTAATCGAAATGTCTCCAAAATTTCCCCTATTGAAACTGTATTGGGGGAGAACTATATAAGATTTCCCTTAAGTAATTAGGGTGAGGCTAATACTGATGATGAGACAATGATCTTATTAAGCAGAAGGTCTAAGGTTCTTCTTAGAAGATGAACAAGAAGAGGATTGAGAGGAGAACCCGCTATTTGCTGACACTTCTTAGAAGATAAACTAATGTTTTGATGCCCTATTTGATCCCAAACTAAGGGAGTGGGTTTTCTGTAACTGTTGAATTGAAATCATGCTATTGAGGTCTGATAGCGGAGGCTCTTAGCCTCCTAGGTACTTAATCCTTGTAAACCTTAATTTTAATTATGGTAACTACTAATCAGGTTTTGGATCACAAAAAGAAGGCTAGGTTTTCCTTGAAAAACTTTCTTTGTTTGATGAAACAAAGGCTCAGGTTTATGCAATATGGTCACCAAACAATTTTAAACGTGAAATTTATTAAGGAATTCAAGAAAAGGAAGAAATAAATTAGTTTAGATTTTTTTTGGAGATGTTGAATTCTTTCTTTCGCATGCCTTATTCTCCTTTGCTTGATGTGGCATGTAAGAAAGGAGGGATGGAGGTTGTTTAGTGCAACAAAGGCTTAGTTTCCAAATAATGCTAACATGAAATGTGTGAAGAAATTCATGAATTAGGAAGAAATAAACTAGTTTAGATCTTATTTGAGGGTGGCATGTAATAAAGGAGGGAGGGAGAGAGAGGGATAAATAGGTGTGATAATTGCAGCGAACCAGCCTCTTATTTGCACAGTAGCCTAACCGTTTTGTTAGCTCTGCTCAATATGTGGATAGCCTCCTTTGATCGCATGATGTAGAATTTATACTAAAAAAGTAGAGCCATGAAAGATGGTAAACACGCATGTTCTGAGACAAGAATAACAAATATTACATTGTAGTCTATTATCGGCGAAGATCAAGGACAACCACTAGTTTCTATGATAGAAATTAATAGGTTTCACACCTGCAAAATGTTGTTGGAAACTAGTTTTTTTTTTAAATTGCAGTCTTTTTCTGTTAGTTTTTCACTGAGCTTCAATGGCGTGGTATAGCTAGTGGTGTGTTGGTGATACATCATCTGAGTTTACTAACTGCAGAAGTGGACTACTTTGAATGAGGTCAGCAACTTGGGAGATTCTTCTTTACCTTAAATAAGTCATATTTCAGTGTGGACAAGACAACTTGATAACTTTTGGGACTGCTTGTTCAGAACCAACAAAGGATCCGTTTGGGATGGCTTTCTTTTAATTTTTTGTGTTAAAAAGCTGCTTTAAGAAGCAGAAAGAAGGCCGTCCCAAACGAAGCCAAAGTTGAATGCCATTTGCACTTTCTCTTATGAATAGTTGTATTCTCTTCCTTTTCTATGTTTAGATTCCGACTTCTGCATTCTGAACTGATGCTTGCAATAAAATGAGGCATAGTTGTATTCACAATTCTTCATATAAAATCAATTTGATGAGTCTCTTCTAATATGTATTAGGCTATTAGCATTGCAACACTTTCTATGACAATGTTCTGTTAACTATCTAAAATAAGTATGTAAAGTTTGCTTTTGACACTCTTTTTTAGGTTAATTCAATCATGACAACATTGAAATGGGACTGCCCTGTGACCATGATCGATCATTTGACAATCAGAAGTTTCATAAATATCATATAGGTTGTGTTATATACCTTTATATCTTTCTATTGATAAGCTTTCTTTTATAGGCGCTCCATTGATGAAATATTGAGGTATCTTCCTGGACCACATGTGGATTTGAAGAGAGTAAGTGCACCCTTCTTAATTTGGATAACTTGAGGTTGAATTTCATTGTTTCATGATGTTAATCACTTGCATATCATGAACATCAATAGGGTGGTTCAACCAATTCTTCTCCATTTGATAAAGTTCCCAGCTTTCAATCAAATCTTGACAGGTGTGCGTTAACTTTCATATTACTTCTAATGAATCTTTTTGTTCTCTTTTTTTTTTCTTTTTCTCTTGCACATGTTTTAAGATTGCATTGTTAAATGATTTTATCTTTTATCATTACTATACTCACAATTAGATTTGTCTTAATGTTTGTAAAATATTCTTTCAATGATGCTCGAAACCTTCAACTCGATACATGGGTGGTAGCATCAGTCTATAAACAAGATAATCAAATCAAAATGAGAAAAAAAAAAAGATAAATTGAGTTGGTTTAGTTTTTAATATTGCATAAACCTATTATTTTGATTTGATTTAGGTTTAGAGCTTGGGAAAGCCAAATAAATCCAACTTGGATCAAATTAGGCTACGCATCAGATAGCTTAAGGCTTCCAATTGGTAATAACGATTTTAAATTCATAACACATTAATTCACTTCCTGTATTTATTGAATTTATGATAAACTACATCTAAATGAACACAACTAAATTGAATAAAACTATTTTAAATTGAATACGATCTAGTAACAATGGGGTTTTTTTTTTTTTTTTGAATTCTTTTGATAAAACTGAAACAAAATATAACCTAATCAAGCAATTTGGTTCAATTTGACTTTTCGTAGGTTCAATTTTGGTGATAAATTTAGTTTTGATTTGAAGTTTTCTTGTTTGGTGTGCTGTGATTCAGTTTCAAACATGAAATGATTTAAAACCAAATCTTGCCATGCAACATGACATCATAAATATGAATGATATAAAATTTTGTGAAAAAAATCATTATTCATGGTTCTAGATTGGTCCTTATGATAGGAAATACTCGAAGATCTCAAGTAAACCCTAACAAGATTGACTAAAACAGTGGAAAAACTCCACAAATTCAATGGAAAACAAGCAAAAACATTAGTTTTTATTATATAAATCAAACCAACGGAAAAGAAATTGCAAGATACAATTGATCCTCAATTCGAGAGGATGACCCTTCTCTCCCAATCTCTTGATGCCGGTAGAGCCCAAGGAAACAACTTCAAGAACAAGAAACAGCCACAATGATTTTGCATGCCCTAATCCTCCAATTCTCCACCTATTTATAGCATAACATCCTCCCTAACCCTAGCCGCCGCCCCTCTTTCCTCCTAATAGCTCCTAGTGGGCCCCACCCCTTGCGTTGGCGGCAATTCAAGAGGGATGGTTTGGTCCGCCTCTTGAATGTTTGAAACAGCCCCTTGCCAAGGGCCGGTTGGGCTGGTCCAATGGGGACCGGTCTAACAATGGTATTTAGGTCTTCTTAGGCTTCTAGATGCAACAATCCTTTATGGTTGAAAAGCTTGCAATATCCAAGCAAGCTCATTAAATCTATGCGAGGTTGGCTGATTATTCTCTCCATTGCTGGCACCCGTTGCATCGTTTCTATGATTGGCATTTGGCAATCTTGTAGGCATTTCATCAAATTTCATGTGAGTTTCTTAAGCATTCCACTTCCCAACTTCTGTCATGATGACAATAGAATCTAAATTAATAGAAATCCAGAGTTTTCCACTCAAATTCAAAGAAAAATAGGATATACAGGGGAAACCGCACCGTAATAATGGTGACAATTTTATTTGTTTTAAGAGCAAGGAATAGTGAAGGGAATGTTGATGAGCACTTTAGGCGTTAAATTAAGAGGCCAACTTGATTGAATATCCACCCCCAAAACAAAAAATATAAAGTAAAACAAGCACAATTAGCAATATGTCCTATGGAAGAGTTTGGGCTTTTAATGTAATGCTTGACTATTCAGACTGGTTTATACTGCTGGACATTTCTCTTGTATGTGCATTTCTTTTTTTTAAAAGCAATACTTTCACAACTATTATCAACCATGATTCTGATTGAACTGGAGGCGAGCCACAGATCTCAGGTAGATTCCAAATTTATCAGATGGCTAATCTCACGTGCGTGTGGGTGTCAAATCTTTTGTGCTGCTGCTGCGCAGTCACAGTTATTTTGCATTCATTGAATCAGACATTTGTTAGACCGGTTGTCTAATCTTATGTTCTGGTGAGCACCCACAGTGATTTTGCATCTATTGAATCAAATATTTGTTAGACCGGTCCATCCTGCGCCGACTCTTGCGTATAAGAGGTGGAACAAGAGTTCCGCCCAGTAACTCCTGCCCCCCTCTCCAAGTGGGGTCCAATAGCCCATTAAAGAGGGAATTAAGGTTAGGTTATGAGGGAAAATTTAAAAGAGGGGTTGTTTGGGGGTTTACATCATTATTGTAAGGTTATTTTCCTAGGGTTAGGGTTATGTCTTGTTTGCTAAATTTAGTTTTGTTTCTAGGTTGATTGGGCTCTAGCTGGCGGCTAGGGATTTGGGAGAGCCGGATCTTCCTCTTAAATTGAAGATCCACTATGCCTTGCTGTTTTTTTTTTCATGTATCTTGCAACAAAAAGAATATTTGTGTGTTCTCCTTATTTTTCTTGGGTTTGTTTTCTGGTTTTACTGAAAACAAACCATAATTGTTTTCTACTAGTACTTCCTATCTTGATACTGAACACTGATACGGTTTTTTTACAGGCTTGCTGATGGCCGTCGTGCTTTAGTTCTAGTGGTTTTTGTTGGAGGCGTGACTTTCGCAGAAATAGCCGCTCTTCGTTTTCTGAGTTCACAGGTGCTGCACCTCTTCTGTTCTTAAATTTCTTTAAGCATGCACCTTTTGTTTTCTTGTTGCTAGTTCTTAAATTTTTGAAACATTTTGTTGATACTCTTTTGCCATATCTCCAATAGCTTAAAACAGTAGAATTATTCTAGTCTTCAAATGCTCTTTGGCTCAAGCTGAAGTTGAAGCTTTTTTCTTTCTTTTACATTCTAGATTTGAATACATTTTGCATATTTCCAAATTGAGAGTTAGCTTCCTTTATTTTACCAGTTCACTTTTTTTTTGTTAAACCTCTTATTGGCAGGATGGTATGGGCTATGATTTCATCATTGGAACAACAAAGATTGTAAATGGAAACACAGTACTTGAAGCTCTCATGACTACTAATTAAGATTCAAAGAGAAATGAAATTTGGGTTCAGCCATTTGTGGCAGCTTCTTTGTAGTTTCTACTGTTAAAGTAATTCTATTAAATAGTTTATAGAGTTTCTGCAGAAGTTTTTAGTAGATACCAAAGGAATTGCCACTGCTTGTGGTGTTCTTAAATATTATTTATATTGGTTACACTGACACTCATCTGAATTAGTACTACATATTTTTGCTCTAGCTGATGTTATTTAATATCTTTTGTTATAGTTTTTGGTCATTGAGTTTGAATATATTTCTCTTTTCTGTGCTACTCTATATCCAATTGTATTTTATCTTGGCAACTCATTTTTGGCTCAATTTAATTTTTTTTATTGATTATCTATCACAAATATTAATTAAAATGTTTATCTTTTGTTATCATTTGTTCTATAGATATAATGTTTTTTTTTTTTTTTTGGATTGAAGAGGTTATTTGTTAGCCTATTTTTTATATATAATACCACTATTTTGTGCAAAATTAAGCAAAAATATTTCACACATTTGTAATTCATTATGTAAAGATATGTACAAAATGAAAAAAAAAAAAATGTAGCAAATATGTAATTTAGGATGTAAGGATATGGATGTACAAATACATAATAACATTTTTCATCATACTTTGTGCTAATCAAAACCATAAAAATCAGATTTCTCTGAAAATCCACAAGCAACAACAACAACTAAGATAAGATTCTGTTTGGAACGGTTTTTTATTGCTTCTTAGGCTTCGTTTGGGGCGATTTTTTTTTTTTTGCTTCATAAAGCGGGGCGGCTTTTTTTTTTGCTTCATAATGCAGCTTTATAGTATAAATTTTTTTAATTTGTACTAAAAAGCTGCTTGAAAAAGCAGAAAGAAAGTCGTAACAAAGCCTTAAAATAGTTTTTTAATACAAAAATTAAAATTTTATACTAAAATGTTGCTTTAAGCAGTAAGAAAACGGTCACAAATGAAGACTAGTTATCAAGAAAAGCCCAATTCATGTTATATGCTAAAGAAGAATATCATTTTGATTGATTCACTTTGGTTGTATATCATAAATGAAATCCAATTGCAGATTTAAAAATTTATCATTATAAAATATTCAGCTGTGTTAAAAAACTTCATAAATCAAAATAACATTACTGTGCCATCATTTGAGAGCTTCTAAATTGTCCCAAATGCCCCACAGAATATAGGAAGTGTTACTTCACCTCTGAACAGTTATCTCTTCCAACAGGTTCTCTCAAACAAGTTGCTATTGCCTTTACTGCAGCTTCAACAGATGCATCTTCACCCTACCATTAACACAACGTTCAATTAAAATTATTGTTCCCTTGTCCATGTATGTGTGTTCATGCATTATATGATCTGATCTATGACAGGAAATACTCGAGTTCGCAAGTAATTCAAGAGAAAATACTTGAGTTTGCAAGCAACCCTAGCAATAATTGATAAAAACAGTAGAAATAATGCGATATTCTCAATGAAATCAATTCAAAAAGAAAGATTGTAGTAGTTGATTCAAAGCAAAAGCAAATACAAAGCAAGATACAATTGATCCTCAATTCGAGAGAAAGATGGTTCTCTCCCAATCACTCGACAATGAGTCTATAGCCCAATATGCCAAAGAAACTTCAAGAAAATAAAAGAAAATCAATCAAAGCATAACCCCCTAACCCTAAAACATTTCATGTTATTTAATACATAAACCTTCTAAATCAAATCTCCTGCATATTTCCAAATTGAGAATTAGCTTCCTTCATTTTACCTCTTATTGGCAGGATGGAATGGGCTATGATTTCATCATTGGAACAACAAAGATTGTAAATGGAAACACAGTACTTGAAGCTCTCATGACTAATTAAAATTCAAAGAGAAATGAAATTTGGGTTCAAAGGGATCTTCCAAAGACAATTTTTTCCAGTTCAGCCATTTGTGGCAGCTTGTGTAGTTTCTACTGTTAAAAGTAATTCTATTAAACAGTTTATAGAGTTTTTGCAGAAGTTTTTAGTAGATACCAAAGGAATTGCCACTGCTTGTGGTGTTCTTAAATATTATTTATATTGGTTGCCTTATTAGTTTACAATTGGATATTACACTGACTCTCATCTGAATTAGTACTACATATTTTTGCTCTAGCTGATGTTATTTAATATCTTTTGTTATAGTTTTTGGTCATTGAGTTTGAATATATTTCTCTTTTCTGTGCTACTCTATATCCAATTGTATTTTATCTTGGCAACTCATTTTTGGCTCAATTTAATTTTTTTTATTGATTATCTATCACAAAATTAATTAAAATGTTTATCTTTTGTTATCATTTGTTCTATAGATATAAAGTTTTTTTTTTTTTTGGATTGAAGAGGTTATTTGTTAGCCTATTTTTTATATATAATACTTAAAATTTAAGTTTGGTGCACTTTTGCCCTATATCAAGCATAAAAAATTCATCAACATTGTTCATGCTAGCATTGTATTGTCAATTTTGCCAAAGCATATCAAAATATAAAAATATTTTATTCAATTAAACCTATTGAGTTAGACATTAAATTTTAGTGAACATAAACTTTTTTATTAAGATATAAATATAATTTATCAGATTTTTTAATATAAATAAATGCTAAATATAAATTTATTTGAGAAGAATAGCAATCTTCAGCACCAGAGGAAAACTAACATTTTAAATAGTAATTTTATGATGCTGATGAAATGTGTTAACTGCTGAGTGAATAATACCACTATTTTATGCAAAATTAAGCAAAAATATTTCGCACATATGTAATTCATGATGTAAAGATATGTACAAAATGAAAAAAAAAAAATTATGCTGCAAATATGTAATTCATGATGTAAAGATATGGATGTACAAATACATAATAACATTTTTCATCATGCTTTGTGCTAATCAAAACCATAATAATCAGAGTTCTCTGAAAAACCACAAGCAGCAACAACTAAGATTTTGTTTGAGAGTTTTTTTACTGTTTCTTAAAACAACTTTTTAATACAAAAATTAAAATTATATACTAGAATGTTGTTTTAAGAAACAATAAGAAAACGATCACAAACGAAGCCTAATAATCAAGCAAAGCCCCTTTCATGTCATTTGCTAAAGAAGAATATCATTTTGATCGATTCACTTTGGTTGTATATCATAAATGAAATCCAATTGCAGATTTAAAAATTTATCCTTATAAAATATTCAGCTTTGTTAAAAAACTTCATAAATCAAAATAACATTACTGTGCCATCATTTGAGAGCTTCTAAATTGTCCCAAATGCCCCACAGAATATAGGAAGTGTTACTTCACCTCTGAACAGTTATCTCTTCCAACAGGTTCTCTCAAACAAATTGCTATTGCCTTTACTGCAGCTTCAACAGATGCATCTTCACCCTACCATTAACACAACGTTCAATTAAAATTATTGTTCCCTTGTCCATGTATGTGTGTTCATGCATTATATGATCTGAACTATGACAGGAAATACTTGAGTTCGCAAGTAATTCAAGAGAAAATACTTGAGTTTGCAAGCAACCCTAGCAATAATTGATAAAAACAGTAGAAATAATGCGATATTCTCAATGAAATCAATTCAAAAAGAAAGATTGTAGTAGTTGATTCAAAGCAAAAGCAAATACAAAGCAAGATACAATTGATCCTCAATTTGAGAGGAGAATCGTTCTCTCCCAATCTCTAGAGGATGAGTCTAGAGCCCAAGATGCCAAAGAAATTTGAAGAGAAACAAATCAAAGTCTAACCCTAACCCTAATCCTCCCTCCCATAATGAAGACATACAATTAATTATTATAGCCAAATTACTCTCTTGCCCTTGCTGCCCCCTCATTTGCCTCCTATTAGTTTTAATTTGAATCCCTAGTGGGTCTCACTCCTTTCTCTCTCCCTATGCCGCCGCCCCTTCACGTGTAGCAAAGAACCGGCCTCTTTGAAGGGGCCGGTTGGGGTTCGGCTGGTCCACTGGGGACCGGTCTAACAATCTAGTATGGATAGAACAAAATATTTAAATAAAATTGGCAGGCCTCATAAGAATTATAAGTCTCTTTTAATGCCTATATGTGAGTTTGCTATTTCCTAAAACAAAAAAAGTAACACTGAAATCTGTGTTATTTACAAAAGTATCACTCCACATCTATTTATAAAATTATCACATAAATCTTAAAAATCGTAATAAAGCTATCAACTTTCATTCTCATTATTTTATCAGATTCTTATAGAACAATTAAATTAATAAAAATGCTTTTCTAGGGTATTACTTGAACCACGATTCTAAGAAAGCAACTTTTTTCTACATAAAGCTAAACTTTTTCTCACGACTAAGCCAAACACCCTCAAAATGCTTCTGCGGCTACCAAAAGTAGCCGCAGAAGCAAGAAACATAAAGCCTTACCAAACAGATCCTTAGATTCCTCAAGTTCCTGAAAACGTTCAATATGGATTTATCTAAAAATGCTCTTAAAACTAGAAGAATTAAATGGTAAAATTGAAAATTAGTTCTCAATATGGCTTCACAAAAAATCGAAGAATTTAGATAGTAAATTCAGGTTTGACTGTGAATCTGAAACGAATAGCACATAGAAGTTGACAAAACCAACAAGGCAGACTTCTGTAGCTAACCTTTTCTTTCCAGTAAAATATATTGCCATATTTTCCAGCTAAGCGACTCCAAAAACTTCTAGGTATGTCCAAGTCAACAGTGGCACCGACATTGAAATTCAATATATTGCCTGTTCCAAATATTAAATCTACATAAATTACAAAACATTAAAGCAGGAATGTACAAATTGTCGTCAGCCTTGATGAAGATCTTAACTTGCTATTAGTTTTATCAACAATAAAGAATCTTTCAACAGATATTAACATGCATCAGAATATATTCACATGCTAGATGCTCTGACTGCGAACGTTTCAGAAGATAATAAAAAAGATTACTTGGAACTTCACTTCTAATGATGACATTTAACTTTGATTAGCTATTAATAACTAATCAAAATAATTGTAGAGCCTTAACCTTATATTTATGACCAACATAATATCTTCTAATGGATACGGAATAATCATGGCTTCACAAATAAGCATAAAACTAATACAATGTTGAAGGTAGGGGTGTGAACGAGTCGAGTTGAGCTCGAGTCATGTCTAACTATAACTCGGCTCGTCTGCCAAATTGGGAACTCGAACTCCAAGGGTATGCTCAAGCTCGGCTCGTACAATAAAAGCAAGCTCGCAAGCTGGCCTTTTCCATTTTTCATGTGGAACGTCTTATCAACAGTCTGATGTGTCTTTTTGATATTTGTTTTTTTTTTTCTGGCGCGGAGGGGCATGGGGGTGCGGCTACAGTGCGGGAGAGGTGCATTATTGGGCTGGGGAGCGTAGAGGGGCGGAGAGATTCACGCGGGGGGGGAGCGTTCTATTTGAATTTTTTCTATTGGTAGGAAAAGACTTTGGAACCGATCAATTGACACATCAATTTTCTTTTAACATAGAATTGATGAGAACATAACTTATTCTTTTTCTTGGGACGCACCTTTAAATATAAATTATATTATATATTTGAATTATTATATACTATATATTATACTTATATATATATATATATCATTAAACTTTTACACGTTCTAGTACTTATCCTGCAGCTACTACTTTTTATTCTGGTTTTGTAGAAAATTGTCTAACAATCTGCAGTCATCATATAGTTTTATTATTTAAATTAATAAAAAAATAGTTATATTTATTTAAATTATCCTAACAGTAAGTCGAGCTAGCTTCACTCGAGCTTATTATCAAGCCGGTTCCACTCCTTATACCCCTTGTCTGTAGGTCATTTGGATTGAGATTAAATATTTTTTGTCTTGATCTTAATAGCTTCAGAAGCAGATAAATTTTAATTCTCTTAACAAATAGAGTATATCAAGTCTATTGTATTGGGAGTTGTTTGACTAATAAGTCCTACAAGTAAGAAAGGATTAAAGAATACTGAGTTGTTAAGGCATTGATTTACAAGATTACTCTCCATTGCACCCTCCCTTTTGTCTAAAAACCCTTTTATGGAATCAAGTATTTCAATTTGAAAATTTTAGTCCCGTGCACCAGAAGGCATTTTCCATGAGAATCCCGAATATTTTATGAAAATTGAAGTTTCATTTCTTCTCCTTCTACAATACTGAATGAACTTTATCTGGAAGTATTTTGTTGTGTGTAATTGATTTATGTTTCTTTCCACCATAGCATGCAAGGGCGGAGCTACAGTGGGGGATCGTGCCCCCACTGGCCAGGCCTATAACATTAATTCAGGTATCTAGCATTTTCTCTCTTGGATTAAAATTTGACTACTAATACAGGATTTTGTAACTGAGTTTTTTGCTATTGCTAGTTTGTTGTTTCCCAGCCAATTTGTCGCCTAGTCCCATGAGTCCCCTCCTCTCGCTCGCTCCTACTATTAGTACTATGTTCTCCATAGTCTTTGGATTAGAAAAGTTATTAGTCCTATCTTCTCTAGAGTAGTTATTTTTAACTCTCTTCCATTTATTTCCTATGACGCACAAACACAGTTGCAAATGTTGGTTTATCGAGAGAATTACTTAAAACTCAAATGAATTAAAAACCACCCTAGTACAAGCTACTTTTGATAGAATTTCAAACCCTAATCAGAGTTATCCTCTTAGCACCGTATGATAGGTAGGCTATTAGATAGAACAATCTCCCTTACTTTGATAGCCTTTTAATCTTATTTAATAATTACTTCTAAATCAAGATAAATCCAAATATTTAAAACAATCCCATAAAAATAATATTCTCTCCTACACTTTTGTTAGCCCCTTGATGTTTAGTATTTTGTGGGATTTTAAATGCAATTTTTTCAGGAATTCCTATTGGATTGAAATTTGTAGGGCAACTTTCTCTCTACTCCTAGCAGCCAGACCCTCAAATTGTGGGATATTGGCTTAGCAATTTGAATAAAGCTCATTGTATTTGAACTACAAACCCATAGTGTTGCCTTCAAGTAGCCATGTATGCTCCATGCTCCCAATTTGACTTCTAGGCTTCAATTGGGTCTAAATTTGGATTATACTTAGGCTCTCTTGGATTTAACTTGGCCAATTTGATTTTGGAGCTTCCTAGACTATTTTTTTATGAAGGAAAACTTCACACATTCCAACAAAATTGTTTTCCTTTTCTCGCTATTTTATGAAGAATAATAGATTTATTATCATGAGATCTCACCTTTCTATTTTTATGGAACATGTGAATTTAAATTTCTAGATGAGGGTAAGAACCTGACACCATAACATATGGGTATCAAAAGTGGTAATCTAGTGAAGCAATGATATTTTCTATAAACTTTGTACATATAATATTAGTTTTTTGAAAGGTTTAATTCCTTTTATTATGCCAATCCCTACTGCCCTACCCCACTCTTTTCTTATTATGGTGCATGAATTTCAATTTTCAAATCGAAGGGATAACAAGATAATTAGAAATAAGGATAATCTAGTGAAACCTGTCCAATGTTAATGAAATCCTCTAGAACCTTGCATCTAACTATTTATGCTTAAGAAGCTTGTTTTAATTCTTACCGAAGGTGGGATCAGCAACAAAGACGATGGTTCTGTCATCCACTTGCCAAAAGTCTCTAATTGCTAATCCTGAAATCAAAAGAAGGGTAAAAATAATTGTTTAAAGAATTAGTAGTAAATAAAGTGAATGGATACTAATTCACCCAATGTCATAAGACGAAAATCTATATAAATAATGCATAGAGTGCATTTCATAGATTTTAGTAATCATAATATCATCAAAGAAAGCATATCAAATATAATGTTTACAAAGAACAGTGGATAAAAGCCCATTGAATGACTTTTCGAATGTCTTGGATCAACAAATAGTTTGATAAACACTAGAATGGCATTTCAATCTTATCCACTACAATTAGAATTCAATGGTAAGGGAATTTTGGAGCAGCTAAATAAAATTAAAACTGAAATTAATGATGATGTTTTTGAATTATTACCTGGTGTTTCAGGATAATTTTGTGCAAGTACACGCAGCTTAAATCCTGTTTCCTCCTCAAGGTCTGCAATCTCTTGACGGAGTCTATTCTCCTAACAGGAGCTTGAAACATATCACCCTCAATTATGAATATTATGAAACAGCAAAATGATAAGAAAGTTTTTAAGCAGGATGTAGAATAGATCAAATGAAGAGCAAGGAATTGCAATCATTAGCAAATATGCTCAGTATAGCAGGAAAAGTAATGTCAAATTATAAGAGAATTTTATGGTAACCCATACTCCTCTTGAGATTCACCGATCTTTATTCAAATCTGAAGAAAGAGCATTTCAGCTGGAAAACAGCCAAATTATTCCTTTGGCGTAGAACATTCACAAAATTTACACAAAAGCACATATGCCATGCCTTGGGCTAGAAATTTTAAGCAGCTTACTTTGGCAAAGTAAGGAAAAAATATATTGTACACCATTATAATTTTTGGCACAATTCCTCAATTACAGGTTATCGTGGCAACATAATAAAGCTCTAATTTAGTGGCTTATTGCATTGTCAAATTCCAGATTCAAACCAACACTTAAGCAGATGTTGTTTCCTAAAACAGCAAACCCCATAACTTCCACAAAAGCCTACATATTTGGGAACTTTGAGTTCTACTTAGTTCATAATTCTGTCATCCTTGAGACAATGATTGTCGCATTTGCAAGTTATTTCAACAAGCTATAAATGGCTATCCCTTCAGTAAATCTCCATAGAACTTTTAAAAATCTTGATAGAACAAAAAGTAAGAGAACAATTGACACCTGGCCTGCAGAGAGAAAGCCAGCAACATCGATCACGGAGCTAAACTCCTTAGGCAGCAATTCTGGTTTGTTAACCCCAACTTTTGCATCAACAGAACCTGACCCTGCACGTGTTGAAGATATTTATTCACAAGAAATTTTAAGTACTAGTTTGAGAAACAATCACAAAGTAACACGCAAGTACCTAAGACCACATCTAACCCTACTAGTGCACAGCCAAATGGGTTCACAAACACACATTAAGTACTGTAATTGAAAGAAAGCAAGAGAACACGATAAATAAGCAAAAAAATTGCATGAAAACTACCAAACGTAAGTGGAAAATAAACAAGTTTTATTTCTCACAAATCAAAACTAGTTTTGGTTTACTTTTTAATCTTTATGTTACATTAAGAGTTTTAAAAGGTCAAACGAGCTTAATACATTAGGTTTGATTCAAGAGTTTTGGTTTACTTTTTAATCCGCACTATCCTATCCTAACCCTTGTGTTAAAAGGAAAAAAAAAAAGCACCTAACTTCTATGTGGAAGCGTCAACCAAAAGTGAATACAATAAATCACATAAAAAACAGTAAAGAGATCAAGTGCCACAAAGAGATTATCAATTTTTATATGGATGGGTTTAAATTAAGCATATTGTTGGGAATGGAATTAAAGACCGTAACAAAAAAAAAAGAAAAAAAAAAAAGTAGCGGAAAGTTAAGATCACCAGGATTTAACATGGAAAAATCCAAAACTGGGAAAGAACCACGGAGGCACACCACACCAAGAAATCCACAATGAAAATGGGGAGAAATAAGTACAAATCTCTTTTTTCTCTCGCTCTCTCCTTGCTTCTCTTCTCTCTCACACCGTTTTCAAACAAGAAACAAAAGAGAATTCAATGATAATACTCTAATGGACGTCACCCTTAAGAAAAAATGAGAAGTCTGCCTCGAAGAGCTATGGAGCTAGTTTGGAGCCCTGCGGTGCTCAAACCTTTGATCTCGATCCATTTGATGATTCTAGGGCGCTCAAACCTGTATCACTGCAGCACTACATAGCACTATGATGCTAAATCTAGAGCATTGCGTCGCTCTGCTTTCTATCGTTTCTCCAACAAACTTTGTAGCACCATGACACTTGAGTGCATAGCGCTGAGGGGTTGTACAAAAAACAAAATTTTGGGAGCAAAGCACCTGAACCCTCAAAAGCACGACAAATTGAACTGAGATTCGAGGTAATAGTACAACCCGATTGATCATCACAATCAGATTCCACACAAAACTAGCATATATGTATGTGGAAGATGAGATAAGATTCAATCTACTCAATAGAAGTTACAAGCAACATACAAAATAAGGACAATCACTAACAATTCCTAAAACCTGAGTTGGCCCTCTCTCAAAACCAAAACAGAGCCAAGTCACTTAAGATAAATAAAAGAGAAAAGTATTCAAAATAGACAATAAAAAAGTATTGAACTAGGACGAAATTACTCGCTTCAAAAGTTACTCCAAAGGGTACCTTTACATGCCCTCGTTTTTCTCTATATTTATGAGGCATGTCACTAAAAAAAAATTATAAATAGGCTCTCATTCTTCATATGAAGGGATGAGGAAGAAATGAGAAAATTTGAGGAGCTCTCTTGCCACCAATCATCACCGGAGTTTTTCCCGACCTCCGTCGGAGTTCTTCTCGACCGCTGCCGAAGTTTCTTCATGATCTTTGCTAGAGTTTCTTCCCGACTATAGACGAAGTTCTTCCCGACCATCGCCATAGTTCTTTCTGACCATTACCTGAGCTCTCTTGCCATCGACCACCGCCAAAGTTCTTCCCGACTGTCACTAGAGTTCTTCTAGACTGCAGCCAGAGTTCTTCCCGATTGCCGCCGAAATTCTTCCTAACCATCGCCGGAGTTCTTCTCGACCACCGCCTGAGTTCTTCTTGACCACCACCAGAATTCTTCTCGACCAATGCCGAACTTCCGCCCATTCATCGGTTGCTGCCATATCTATTCCCAACCACCGGCCATTGCTGAACTTTTTTCCTTTCTCATATTTATGCCAGAACTCTTCTTGGATGATATCGACACCGTACTCCTCCCAAATACCGTCACCCACCAACTACGGTCTCTATGACCATTGTTGCCCGACTAAGATTCTTCCTATCTCCATTGCTCGCCGTTTACAGTCTCTCAAACCATCAAATGCTAGATTACAGTCTCTACGAACACCATTGCCCTACTGCGATTCTTCTGATCTACATCGCTCGCCGATTACAATCTCTCTGACCATCAATGCCAGATTACGGTCTCTACGACTGCCATCGCACGACTACAGTTCTTCCAACCTTCATCGCCTACTGTTTACGGTCTCTTCAACCATCAGTGTTAGACTATTGTTGCCTGATTACAGTTCTTCCGACCTCTATCACCCACCATTTACGATCTCTACGACCATCAATGCCAGATTATGATTTTTCCGACTTCCGTTCCCCACCGGCTATGATTCTTCTTAACACCATTGCTTGCCGACTACCCTTCAATTAATATCGTCCGCCAATTATGGTTCAGGCGTTCAACGGACCAAATGAACATACCATCACTTATTCTTCCAACTCTCACCATGTAATGTCTTCTACATGATGTATGTTGGCCATATTGAACAAGGCCTTCCCGCCAAAGAAGGGCTTCATTTGTAATCAACTGCAAATACTAGCGTATTCATTCAAACCAGGTAAGGCCCCGTGGTTTTCCCCCCTTTTTAGGGGTTTTCACGTAAAAACTATGGCGTCTATTATAAATACTGCATCCCTACTTATTTATTTGTTTGTGTGACAGATCTTTGTACAAAGCTAAGACACTAAACTACATCACTCTCTACCGCCGTGGATTTTCCATGACGCAACAAGGTTATTCAACTTAAATAATGTAAAAAGTGATAGCATAATTAAGATACAACATTAATATATAAATTAAGATAAAATCCTTAAATAAATTTAAAATATATCAAGTAATACAATATCTCAACAAAATAAAAAAAAAAACAAAAATTAAAATACAGAACAAGTCCAGACAATAAAAATTTAAAATGAGAAATAAAAAAAAATTGTGATAATCTAACTCAAGGTATAGCTCCTCCATGTCGTTATGTAATTCAAGCAAAAGAATATAATGTGAGTTATTATTTGGTTGATAATATATATCCAAAATGGTCCGCCATTGTGCAAACTATTCAACAGGAAACATGTAGAAAAGACGTAAATGTGCTTTTAGAGCTCTCCAATCTCATTTTGCAATTGTTGCAAGACTGATACATTTTTGCAACAAAGAAGTACTACATGACATAATGATTAAATGTATAATTTTGCATAATATGATTGTTGCGTCCTGGAATATTTGCGGCGGTAGAGGAATATATGGTTTAACGTCTTAACATTGTACGAAGATCCATGACGCAACAGTTTGGCGCCGTCTGTGGGAAAGCCAATCCCACTACACTAAGGAATCCTCCAATGGTCAACAGGCGTAGCCACCGCATCATGGGAACCTCCCGCTCTAATTCACACCAATCCAGGAATCAGTCCCTGAATCAAGGACGACAGGCATCTGCCTCCTTTCACCCCGATAACCGACACCCTGCAGGAGAAGGAACTTCAGGGCCATCCCTAGAAGAATGTATCAGAAAAATGGAGGAATCTCAGAATGAGATCCTTCAGCTCTTAAGGGGAGCTCGAGGACCAGCACCAGTACCCCAAGAAGATACTCTTCTCCCTCGAGATCAGCCAGGATTCGAAGACATTCTTCATGTCGAAGTCCCCCTTCCTCCGCCAAGGATGCGCCCTCCTACACGCCCATAAAATGAGCTTGCTGACACAGCGAGCTCTACCCATCCTTCACGCACGGGCCACCGGTAGCATATGCCTCTGGATGTCCCCGAGGACTTGGACGAACAGCACGTCACTGAACTCCCCCGCAATACTCTACGGAACGCAGGACCTTTTATGACGAATGGTAAGATGTGCCGAAAATGAAATAGGTTATATATATAATATTATAAGTAGCCTCATAAAATTTTTTAATTATTAAATATATATATTTCTGCACAATATGAGTAAAAATTTTGTTATTAATATTAATATGTGGATGATAATTTAAAAAATTAATGTTAAGAGACTTAGGCTTCGTTTGGGGCGGCTTTCTTACTGCTTCTTAAAACAGTTTTAGTGTTAAAAAAGTAAAAATTTTCTACTAGAAAGCTGCTTTAAGAAGCAATAAGAAAGCCGTCCCAAATCAAGCCTCAGGCTTCATTTGGAATGGCTTTCTTACTGCTTAAAATAGCTTTCTAGCATAAAAATTTTAAATAAAAAATTTGTCTCATATGAAACCTTATTTTGGGGCAGTTTTATTTAAGACAGTTTTTTTATTACTTTCTAAAATAACTTTTTAATAAAAAATATTTAATTCATGAAAATTTTTACATATATGTTATTTTAGAAAGCAGTAAGAAAATCATCCCAAACCAAGCCTTAGGTTTCATTTAGGACAGCTTTCTTAGTGCTTCTTAAATCAGCTTTTTTAGTACTAAATTAAAATTTTATACTAATTTTTAAAATTCTTGAATTAAGGAAATACCAAAGATTCAAGCCTTCAATTGTCATGGGTTACAATTGCAATCGATTGTCTCTTATTTTTTTTAATTGTTTGATATATTGGTTTTTTTTTTTCAAACCAAGCAATGAGTGGTTTCACTTTTATTTTCTTTTATTTATTTTTTTCTTTTGGACAATTATAAAAACTGTTTTGTGATTTATCTGTATGAGATATTTCGTTGGAAGACTATAGCATTTTTATTTTTGGCTTTTGTAAAACAAAAGTTGCTCTCAATTTTTGTTTTTCTCCCATGAACGGAGTGAAAGGAAGAAGTGTGGTGTTTTTCTCTTTTGTATATTTTGTTCTATTTTCTTTTAGTTTTGTTATTGGTATCAGAGCCCGATTGGAGAATGGCAGCGAGTTCAATCACCAATAATTTACAACCTCAGTTGTCCAAGTTCACGAAAAGAATTACAATCAATAGAGTATTCAAATGCGGGTGTTGTATCAATCTCAAGAGTTGTGGGAGATTATAGAGAGCGGTTTTCAGGAGCTCAATGTTGAGAGAGATTTGAATCAAAGTCTTCTTCAAGAATTAAAAGAAAATCGGAATGACCTTTTCTTCATCTATCAAGCGGTATATGAAATTATTTTTAAGCGGATCTCTACAGCGAAGACCACGAAGGAGGCTTGGGATCGATACACTACATGCTTCTTACAAAGGAGACGAGAAAGTGAAGATGATACATTTATAAACCCTACGAAGCCAATTTGATATGTTGAAGATGAAGGAGTCAAAAAGTGTGGAAGAATATTTCAATCGGGTAATTATCATTGTTAATCAATTGAAGTTGAATGGAGAACTTGTAGAATATAAAAGGGTTATTGAGACAATTCTACGAAGCTTGACCAAAAAATTTGAAACCACGGTGGTATCCATAGAAGAGGCAAAGAACATAGAGAAAATGTCTATTGAAGAGTTGCTTGGATATCTTCAATCACATGAATTAAAAATAAAGCAATATGATTCGACACCACTTAAGGAAGCCTTCCAAACTCAAGTGACATTGAGTGGGAATTTTAGAGGTGGTCATTGAAGAGATTTTGGTAGAGGAAGAGGCTCATTTGGTAGAGGAAGAGGCTCTTTTGGTAGTAGAGGAAGAGGTCATAATCTACGTACATAAAGTGATGGAGGTGAAGTTCAAGGTGGAGCTCATAGAGATAGAGAAGGTGCACGTGGTCATGGACATGGCTTCAGAGGCAGAGGAAGAAGCAACCTTGCTAATATCAAATGTCACTTCTGTAAAAGGTATTGACACACTTATCATTTTTGTTGGAAGAGGCAGGAGAATAAAGAGAAAAATATAGATATGGTGCAAGAAAAGAAAGTGGAGAAAGGTGAAGACACAATGTTTCTTACACATAGTAAAGAGTTTGGTGATTCAGGAGATGTATAGTTTATTGATAGTGGTTGTAGTAATCGCATGACTAGCAATAGAAGATTATTAGCTACTTTGGATAACTCAATCCAAACTGAAGTACGCATGAGAGATGACAATAGATTATTTGTGAAAGAAAAAGGTGATATTTTGGTGCAAACAAGGAAGGAAGAAAATAAGATATCAGATGTATTCTATGTTCTAAATCTTAAGCATAATTTACTTTGTGTTGGGCAACTAAATCAAAAGGGATTTGTGTTAATATTTTCTCTTGACACTTGTACCATTAAAGATAAGCATGAATTTTTGATAGCCAATATGAAGGTGACTCCAAATAAAATGTATCCCATAAAGATGATTTGTAGTCTGAATTGTTATTTGAAAACTTCCATAAAGAATCATTTAAGATTATGGCATTGAAGATTTGGTCACTTAAGTTCCAAGACACTTTGTTATATGAGACAGAAGAACATAGATGATGAACTTCCACATATTGAAGTTAAAGTAAGATCTGTGAATTAAGCATGTGTTGGAGGAAAGCATAGCAGAGCATTTTTTTCAGTTGGAAAATCATGGAGAGTTTTGAAGCCATTAGAGCTTATTCATTCATATTTATATGGACTGATGCACATTACTTTTATTGTAAGTAATTGTTATTTTCTCACATTTATTGATGATTGTAGCAGAAAAGTCTAAGTATATTTTTTTAAAGAGAAGTCATAAGTATTTGAATATCTAAAAATATTTAAAGCACTTTTGGAGAAGGAGAGTGACCATTTTATTAAGGTGTTGAGGAGTGACAAAGGTGGAGAATATTTTAGTCATGAGATGCAAATTTATTTGAAGAAGGATGAGATACATCATTAGTTAATAACTCGATACACACCATAATAAAATGGGGTAGCTGAGAGGTTAAATATAACCATTATGGGATTGGCTAGGAGTAGTTGAAGGAGAGGCAGCTGCCCAATTTACTTTGGGCTGAAGCTGTGCCATATACTATGTATTTGTTGAATAGGGTGACATCAAAAATCACTCCATCTCAAACACCTTTTGAAATTTAGAGTGGTCATAAGCCTGATGTTGATCACTTGAGAATTTCTTAGAGTATTTCTTATATTCATGTATTTGATCAAAAGAGAAGGAAGTTGGATGAAAATTATGAGAAGTGTGTGTTTGTAGGATACAGTGAAAGGTCCAAAGTCTATAATCTATATAATCCTACAACAAAGAAAGTGGTAGTGAGTAGGGATGTAAGATTTGAAGAGAGCTTAGCTTGTGATTGGCTTGAAAAAGACAATAAGGAGGACGCCACAGTTTTGAGAAATTCAAAAAAAAAAATTATTGATGATCTAGAGCAACAAACACCACCACGCATTATAGTGAGATTGGGAGAAACATCTAGTAATGATATGGAAAAGGTGAAGACAAGAAGTCTGCAGGAGATATATGACACCATAAATTATAATTATGAGTTATCTCAATTTGCTTTATATGTAAAGAAGAATGTTGATGGAGGTGTAATTAAATTCAAGGTTAGACTTACAGTTAAAGGATACAAGCAGAAGTAAGGGATATATTATGAAGAGGTATTTGCACCAATTGCAAGATTTGATACAGACAGATTAATTTTCTCTATTGCAATAATGAATAAATGTCATATTCATCAATTAGATGTGAAGTCGACTTTCTTGAATGATGTTTTGGGGGAAAAAAATATGTAGATCAGCCTGAAGGTTTTATTGTGAAGGGAAAAGAGCATATGATGTATCATTTAAAAAAAGGCTTTATATGACTTGAAGCAAGCCTCGAGGGCTCAGAATTTATGCATTGATAGGCATTTAGGAGAAGAGAAGGGTTCACTAAATGCCCTTATGAACATCGTGTGTATATGAAGATTGACTCAAATGACAATAATTGATTATATGCTTATATGTAAATGATTTACTTATAACATATGATGATGAGCAGATGATTGTAGACTTTAAATCAGCTATGTTCAAAAGATTTGATACGACAAATGTTGGCCTCATGTTATTATTATTTAGTATAGAAGTGTATTAATTAGAAAGATAATAGCATTTGGATATGTCAAAATAGGTATGCAAAAGAGTTGCTTGAGAAGTTCATTATGAATCATTGCAATAGCGTGTCAACACCAATGCAAACTGGAGTTCATTTCACAAAAGAAAGAGAAGGGAAATTGGTTAATCCAACATTATACAAAAGTTTGATTGAGAGACTCAGATACTTGACAGTGACGAGATCTGACATTGTGTATAGTATGGGCATCTTGAGCAGATTCATGGAGAATCCGAGGGAGTCTCATTGGCGAAAATAATTCTTAGATATATTAGTGGCATAATTGAGTTTGGCCTTCATTATCAATGCAGTGGAGATATGAGGTTATTTGGATATTGTGACAGTGATTATGCAAATGATCATGAGTAAAGAAAGAGCATAAGTGGCTATGTATTGATACAGCTTTCACATGGAGCACACAGAAGCAGAAAGTTGTAGTCTTATCTACATGTGAGGCGGAGTATATAACAGCAATGATAACAGCTTGTGAAGCAATGTGGTTGAAAAATTTGTTGAAGAAATTTTATGAAGAGATTGATGAAGCTACAACAATTTATGTGGACAACAAGTCGACAATTGTGTTGACCAAAAATCCAATACAATATGATAGGAGAAAACACATTGATGTGAGTTACCATTTTATAAGTGAAGCGGTAAAGATGGGTTAGATTAGCATGGAGCACTGCAGTATATAGGATCAGGTAGCTAATTTATTAACCAAAGCATTGTCGACACCGAGGTTCGTAAAGCTCCTGAAGATGCTTGGGATGAAGAAAGTCTTCGTTTGAGGGGGAGATTGTTGGATTTTTTTTTTTCAAACCAAGCAATGCGTCATTTCACTTTTATTTTCTTTTATTTATTTATTTATTTTCTTTTGGACAATTATAAAAATTATTTTGTGATTCTCTATATGAGTTATCCCGTTGGAAGACTATAACATTTTTATTTTTGGATCTTGTGAAACAAAAGTTGCTATCATTTTTTGTTTTTTTTTCCTGTGAAAGGAGTGAAAGGAAGAAGTGTAGTATTTTTTTCTTCTCTATATTTTGTTCTATTTTCTTTTGGTTCTATCATAATCTTCTAGCATAAATGTTTAGGTCATGAAAAGTTTAAAGCTCTAACTATCTACAAAATTTTAATCGATTGTTTTTGGATTTCAACTATTTTACTTCATCATCTCATGATCACCTATTTCTTTTTCTTTCTAAGAGGATCACCCAATGTCTGTCATTTATGTGCATTATCATCATCTAACATTTATTGTCCCACTTTCATTATAATTCAATATTTTAGAATTTATTTATTTATTTATTTTAAAATTTTATAATATTTTCTAAAACAAGCTTGTGTTAAACCAATTCAAATTCGCACAAAACCAATTTAAATTAAATAATTCGAGAAGGACAAATGCGATCAGATCCCAGGAGCCAATTTTAAGTCAACCTTATTTTTTTCGGGGCAGGTTGAGTGACTCCAACGCGGGACCAAGTGGGAGGCACGAATGTCCTCTACTGTCGTGCCAAAGCACGAACTACAGTCAACCCTATTTCGTACTAGACTTATATCTACTTAAACTTTAGGCTTCGTTTGGAATGAGAATATTCTTATTTATTCTTAAAGCAGATTTATATTGCTAAAAAAAATTAATTTTTTAACTAGAAAGCTATTTTAAAAAGTTGTAAGAAAGTCATATCAAACTAAAGCTTTGTTTGGGACGGCTTCTTAAAACAACTTTTTAGTGAAAAAATTTAAAATTTTTGTACTCAAAAGCTTCTTTAAGAAGCATTAAAAAAGTCGTCTTAAACGAAGCATTTTTTACTGCTTCTTAAAACAACTTTATAGAACAAAAATTAAAATTGTTTAACTAAAAAATTGTTTTAAGAAGCAGTAAGAAAGGCTTCCCAAACGAGATCTAAACCTTAATTTAATCACTCTAATCCCTACTTATACTAACTTTTCAATATAACCCCTCATGAATTTAAAAATTAACCTTAACACCTTTTCAAAACTTACCCAACGCGCCATGGCTGGCAAGCCGGCTCGCGAGCCGGCTCGAGCTCGTTAACAGTGACACGAGCTCGAGTTCGAGCTCGACTGTCGAGCTCGACTCGAGCTCGATCTCGCTTTCTATCTAACGAGCCGAGCTCGATAAGGGCCAAAACTCGACTCACTCGACTCGTTTACACCCCTACCGCCATATAAATAAAAACTCCATTGGTGGGGCCTATTATTAAAAGACAAGCCAATCAATTAATTTTCATTCAGAAACCAGCGATATCGTCTCTCGACCACTCTTCAATAAATAACCTTCTCCGCCTTCCCTTCCATCAACCACCCTCTCCCTCTCCTTTAGTTTCTCTCTTCTTCTTCTTCTCTTCCAAACCTCCATAATCAATTAATCAATGGCGGTCTCAAAACCTCACCTTTTACTCATCCCTTACCCTCTTCAAGGCCACATCATCCCCGCCGTCCACCTCTCCCTCAAACTCGCCGCTGCTGGCTTCTCCATAACCTTCGTGAACACCGAAGCCGTTCACCACCGTCTCCTAACTAACGGGACCGCTCGCGGCGATATCTTCGCCGGCGCTAGGGCCGCCGGCTTTGATATACGTTACAAGTTGGTCAGCGACGGTCTTCCGGTCAGCTTCGACCGCTCGTTAAATCACGATGAGTTTATGGAAAAACTGCTTCATGGCTTCCACCGGAACGTGGAGGTGCTCGCCCGGCGTTTGCCGTCGCTGACCGGTCTGATTGCAGATACTTTCTTTGTTTGGCCTGCCACGCTCGCCCGATCTCTTGGAATACCGTACGTCTCTTTCTGGACGGAACCTGCCCTTGTGTTTTCTCTGTATTATCACATGGATCTTCTCCGGGAAAATGGCCATTTTGCGTCGGATGGTGAGAATATTCTCTGAATGAATTCATATATTATTATATATTTCTAGTTTATTATCTTATTTAGAAAAAAATTATGATTTTTAATGATATGTTTAAAATTAAAAAAAAAATATAGTTAATTGAGTTATGTTAATCACAAATATTTTTAATCCACCATTTAATTAAGCTCTTTAAAAAATATTAAAAGAAGCGATAGAAACATTTTTATTCGGGAGAGGAAGCATTTAAATGTCATAACGATGGAGGAATTAAGTGATTTTAAGCTCATTGGATTCTTCCCGTCGAGCTGGTCAATTCAATTATAGGCATGTTTTATATTTTCAACATTCAAATACACTTCAATCCCTTGATTTGACTCATTACAGTTTTGATCAGTCCGATTTTGGTGTCGTTAGATTCGTCTCATTGAGTCGCTCAATTTGATTATAAGTTTGCTGAAATTAAAGCTCAGACGATCCCAAATTTAACCTTGAAAATTTCCAACTTCAATTTGTCTCAGAATTCGTGCCGGATCAAGATGATTTTTGGTCTCATCCAGGAAGAAAATAAGAGAATCTCAATATTTACAAGAGAAAAACTCGTTACAATTTTCATTATAGCAAGAAAAAAATTATTTTGTAAAATGGAAACAAAACGTTTACATCTGAATTGAAATATACTTTTTGTTATTTATTATCATTATTTTTGTTTTATTAATCAAAGATGCTGTCAACACCTACAGATAATCGAAAAGATACGATCACCTATTTACCGGGGGTGACGGCAATCGAACCGGTCGATCTAATGTCCTACCTTCAAGACACCGACACCTCGACCGTGGTTCACCAAATCATCTACAAAGCCTTCGACGAAGCTCACCGAGCCGATTTCGTGCTCTGCAACACGGTCCAAGAGCTCGAACCCAACACAATCTCCGCCATCCAGAAGAAAAAACCGTTCTACGCCGTCGGCCCCATATTCCCGACCGCCGTCGGCCGCACCACCGTCGTGCCGACGAGCCTCTGGACCGAGTCGGACTGTTCCCAATGGCTGAACGCTCGACCGCCTGGCTCAGTTCTCTACATCTCCTTCGGAAGCTACGCGCATGTGGAGAAGAAGGAGCTGGAGGAGATCGCGCACGGGGTGGCGTTGAGCGGGGTGAGCTTCGTCTGGGTGCTTCGACCGGATGTGGTGAGTTCGGAAGAGCCGGATCCGTTGCCGGTGGGGTTCAGGGAGGAGACGGCCGGAAGAGGGATTGTGGTTCAATGGTGCTGTCAGACGGAGGTTTTGGGGAATCCGGCGGTGGGAGGGTTTCTGACGCATTGTGGGTGGAATTCGGTGTTGGAGAGTGTGTGGAATGGAGTTCCGATGATCTGTTACCCTTTGCTGACGGATCAGTTTACGAATAGGAAGTTGGTGGTGGGGGATTGGAAGGTTGGGGAGGGTTTTAATGGCGGAAGGGGAGGTGTGAGGAGGGAGGAGGTGGGGAAGAAGATTGAGGGGTTGATGAAGGGGAAGGAAGGGGAGAGGATGAGGGAGGAATTGAAGAAGGTGAGGGGAGTTTTACGGGCGGCGGCGGCGGGCGGGTCGTCGGGGCGGAATTTTGAGCGATTCATCGAGGATCTGAAGGGTTGGGGGACGAAGGTCTGAGGACACGTGGATCACGATGTGTGGTGGGATTGGATCGGGTGGTTGCGTGGGTGTGCGAGAGAATGAGAGGGCTTGTTCCTTGGCAAGGCCCATAAAATAATTTTTTTGTGCGGGAAAATGTTTGCGAGGGATGACGTGGCAAATTAAGGGCCGAGGGATAAGAGGTTACGATTGCAATCAAATACTGTTTCGCTGTCATCTTTGATTGATAGTTTTTATTAGCAATTAAGAAATTTTGGATTTAAGACTTAGATATTTTAATTGATCTAAATATTCAAAAATATATATTTTTGCTGTGGTTTTTTTTTTTTTTTTAACTTCCAAGCGAATCGGATTGAGGTCATTATTTACTGTGCTTATGTTTTTTTTTTTCAGAAAAATATAATTGAAATTATTTAGGTGGCATTTTTATTCTCTTTTATTTTATTTTCATGTAATAAATAAGTAAATTATAGAAAATAATTGTCATAAAATAAAATTGGTCAGCTGTAATAACTATATTATTTTGAATACCTATTAATAATTTGGAGAGCGAGTATATGATCGAGTAGATTTGAAGGTGATATGACATTTTTTGTCATCAGTCTTGAGATCCAATGCGAGATCCAATGCATCTTCCTTTGATCAAGCCAACTTAGGCATCATTTGGAACATCTTTCTTACTTCTTTATTAAACAGCTTTTAATTAACAAATTTTTAGTTTAAAAAATATTGGTACTAAAAAAACTCTTTAAAAATAATAAGAAAGGAATCCTTAAAACTCGATTATATACATTGTTGCATCATGGAACATTCATGAAGATAGATAAATAGCTTAGTGTCCTAGCTTTGAACGAAGATCCAGCACATATACAAATAAAGAGAGAGAGAGAGAGAGAGAAAGAGAGAGAGAGAGAGAGAGAACGAGGTGAAAGTCATAAGAGTCACCAATATTTTTATAAGAAAATTTCTAAAAAGGAGGAAAAACCATGGGGCATTGACCTGTTTGATAAATTCACTTAGGCGTTTCAATATTTTATCTGACTCAGACCTGACCCGAAAAATTTTGGTTTTCGGGTAAACCTGTTTTCCATACCAGTCAGGTTCGGGTTTGATATTCCAACCCGTTTACAAAACCAGTTCAGGTTGACCCGAAAACCTGATGTTAGCCCGGTACTGACTCGGAGCTCACCCCAAGCCTGTGTCCCGCACCTGCACTCCCGCGTCTCGCACCTACCCTACGCAGCTCCGCTCGACCACTACAACCTTCCTTGCTCACAACTAGCCCCCTCATTCGATCGTTTTCATGTTGTGGCAAGCCCTATTAGTGCTACCCCCTACACGCGCGTGCTCAACCCGACAACCCACTCTCAAACCCAGGCCGGCACCCCACATCCTGCTCCCATGTTAGAGTTTCAGATCAAGTTAAGGGAAGGTCTGGTCCAGGTTTGAATTTCTAATCCATTTCTAGAATCGGGCCAAGCCAAATAGTGACTGGTTATTTTCGAGTTGGACCCGAACTTGACTCAAAAACCCGTTTTGACATTCCTACATTCATTAGTGTTTGTAGTTGATTATAAATAATGCTCTTCCTCAGGGGAAGGAATTGGCTCAATGTAGCTAATATACATCATAACATGCACATTACAAGGCTATAATAAGAAGAACCCAGTGGCATGAGAGTTATTCTCAAGAAAATGTTAGCATGTTTGTTTGGTCAGTAGGATCATAGTTGGGTGACAATGGTTGGAATGACCGACGTAGTCAACTGACGATGGGGGTTGAAGAGACTTTAGTTGTAGGGTGACGGAGGTTGGAGGGATCATAGTCGACGGGCCACTGTGGTCAGAGGGACCATAGTCGGTGGGCCACAGTGGTCAGAGATATCGTAGTCTGTGGGCCACGATGGTCAGAGGGACCGTAGTCGGCATGCGACAAAGGTCAGAGGGATAAGCAACAGAGGTCAGAGGGACTGTAATCGGTATACAACTAAGGTTAAAGGGACTATAGTCGGCATACAACGGTGGTTGGAGATACCGTAGTCGGCGGGTGATAGAGGTCGGAGGGACCGTAGGTTGCGAGCGATGGTGGTTGGAGTTGTGTGCCGATGGCAGCAGAGCAAAGGTTTGGCGGCAATCCAGCAATTGTCGGTGGCCAGACGGAGGTTTGGAGACTATCGACTGCAAGGCGGTGGTATGACGGTAGTCGACAGAAGTTCGTTAGTGGTGGTGCTTAGGTAAAATTCTATGATACTTGAAGCCTCAAAGCTCTTTGCAATCTCCTACCAAAAAGTCCACCTCATATAGAGAGTGAGAGTCTATTACAGATTTTTGCGAGTGACATGCTCCGTAAATATGAAGAAGATCCATGGCAATATGAAAGTGGTCATTCAGATGACCCATATCGATTGCCTCAATCTTAGAGCATTTATCTAGTGCTTAAAATGTCATAATGATGGAGTAATTAAGTGATCTTAGACTCGTTAGATTCATCTTATCGAGTTAGTGATTAAACTATAAGAATGCTATATTTGAATATCATTTGATTATCCAATTTATGTTTTAAAACTTCCAAATAACTTCAGTCCCTTGATTCGACTCATTTGAGCTCGGATCGAACCGATTTTAGTGTTGTTGGGTTCTTATCGTTGAGTTGCTCAATTTGACTATAAGTTTGCTGAAATTAGAATTAAAATGGTCCCAAATTTAATCTTGAAAATTCCAACTTGAATTTGCCTCGAGTTCGTGCTGAATCGAGACGATTTTGGGTGACTCATGAGAGAGAGAATTGGCTAAGAAGAAAATAAGAGAATCTCAATATTTATCAGAGTAATATCTCTATTTGTTGGTAGGAAGATGCTTCCTGCCCATATACAATATCGTTAAAATATAAAAGTACATATGATTTTATGAACAATTATCTTGATATAATATATATTAAAATATATTTCATATATTTCCTCTTAATAAAAGCAGTTTCAAGAGCTTTATTAAAAAAAAAAAAAAGAATTTCCTGTAAATTTTTTTTCGTAAGCAACCGTCAAATTAATTTTAAAATATTTTTTATTGCTATCACAGATGCTTTCTTCTCTTCCTATTGGTCAGTTGAATTAAAAAGCTCTATCAACAAAACAAAGAATCGCCACTCAATCAAGTAAATATATTAAGATATAATTAAGTATTTATTTTTCCCTGTCAGAGGAATGTTAACGGAATTGATCTCGCATCCTCTTAATTTTTTTCTCATATTTTTCTGAGAAAAAAAATAGGTAACAATGTGGTGACAAAATTTTAATAAGAATAAATTTAAAATTATTAATTTTATTTTGAGATGAATATAATTTATATATAATTAATTATAATTAATTAATTAATTAATTATATATATATATATATATATATATATATAATTTCATGCTTGTGCTCTAAGTTGTACATAATATCTTTTCTAATATATCGTGCCCGATCAAGCTAATTTTTGGAGTACGTATCAATTTTATTTTTAAATAGTTACTTTCTTATGATAAAATATATTGATCAGTTATTTTTATTTTTAATTCTTTTTATTTTAGTAAAAAATTTGCTTGCTTCCATAAAATTTAATAATATCACATTATATATTTTTACTTAGAATAAGAACCAAACACACATTTAAATTCCAAAAAAAAAAACAATCACATATACCTTAAGGGCTTATTTGAGCGAGAATTAAATCAATAAGAGAAAGAACAAAGAAGACTACACAGAAGACACGTACGTTTATACTTTATAGCGCTTCAACTTCTCCTCTCTTTCAAGTTTAGAGAGAGAACTTCGAACATTTACTTTGTTTTTTTTTTCTCTCATAAGAGCTAAATGCCAACGCTGAATAGAGAATCCTCACCAAATGAATAATCTTCACAAGAAAGATATTCACCATTGATAATAAAATCCGAGCTATACTGAGAACATTAATATTTTACATAATTTATTTTGCTAAGCTGATCCATATTCCACTTGTACTGCATTGAATAGGCTCATCAGATCTCTTCTCCTCTATTTGAATACTTCTTCAGTAAATCTCCTCTACTCATATCAGTTGAGGAGGCGTACACATCAATCACTTCAATGCATTTAACATTAATTCCTCTTAATTTAGTGGTAGCAATGGTTTGATTGTCATCCTCCCAAAGCTTCTTCTGATTAAATATAAAATTTTCAGTTGTTAGATTGTAAAAACAGCTTCCCTATGGTCAAATTTTCGTAAGAAATACTTAGTTTCCAGCAGATTTTTCTGCCAGAAAAGATTGTTTTCTTCAGTGTTTCAGCCTTTAGATGAGCATATACGTGAAAAGTTTGGAGTAGCTCCAGTGGAAGATAAGATTAGAGAGAATAGTCTTAGATGGTTTGGTCATATTAAATGGCCAAGGCCTTCCGATGACCCAGTTAAAAAGATTGAAGTATTAGATTTTACTCATGTTAAGAAAGGTAGAGATAGATATAAAAAGATTTGGATAGAAAATATTAGAAATGATCTATCTTTCTTTATTAGATTTAAATGAGAATTAATTTAACTTTTAACAGCACATAATGATGAAAAAGAATTCATATAGCTGACCCCACATAGTGGGACAAAGGCTTGATGTTATTGTTGTTGTTGTTGTTGTGTTTTAGCCTTTAGAAGCATGAGTGACAGTGGCTACCACTGTCCACCGGAGAAGCTCTGAACATAGGTGTTTGCAAGCTTTGCCATAGATGATGGGAGGCCATTTCTACTTGTTCAAGCCTGTTTAGTCACATTCAACTGGTTAATTCACTTAAATCTATAGCACTGAAGCTTCAGAATCAAAATCTTTCAAATAATAATCCATGATATCTCCCTGGTAAAAGTGACTGGCAAAGCAGAGAAGAACCAGAACAACAATAAAGGAGCTGAAGATAGATAACAAACCATCTCGGAACACAGGAAGAATAAAAATAATAGCTTATCAAAGCTTTCCAGCGAAAAAAGTATCCAAAAATGTCCAAATCAGCCAGTTCCACTGACACCTGCATCAGCTCAACAAAGCTGTTTGTTCTAAGGACATGTTTATTAATGTCTGAGAATCTCATAAAGAGATGCTTGTACAATTCACTGTATTAACCATGTAATTCTATCTCTTCAGTCTCCCTTCCCATTAAAATAAACGATCAAAATTTAAAGTTTTGAGATGAAGTAGTATAAAGAGAAGCTGGAATAGCAGATTCCAAGCAGTGAAGTAGAAGATTATTATTGTAGCTCTATAACTTGGTGGTGTGGCAGAATCGGAGATGGTCCT